TAATTGAAGGCCAGACACCTCTGCTGCCTCTCACTAAATCTCTCAATGGGACCTGGGGCATGGCAGTCTCCTAGGCTTTTATTATGTCACAGTATTTTTTAGCTCTCTTAGGATAATAGAAACAGGAGTAACCTTAGAATGCTGTTTACAGTTAAATGGAGGGAAGGGAGTGATTCAGCTCCTATGTTTCTAACTGTATTAATACCACATTTGGGAAATTGAAAACCTTTAGTACACCAGAAGTGTGGAGTTTAACATAGGCAGGACAAGAGAAAAGATTAAAGCACTAAGGAAGGACTAATATTAAAGAATTTAGACTTAATTGTAAGTGAAGTAAGAAACACTAGCGGTTTTTGAAGCAAGAAAATGATCTGTTAAGATTTGTGCTTCAGAAAATAATTCATTTTTTAAAGTAGGAAGTTATAAGTAAAATATTAACATGTACATAATTTAGAAATCAGACGGCAAATATTAGAAGAAATAACTAAGAGAATTGAGAGTAGCTGTTCTTTGGGTAAAGAAGAGTTATTCTTGGATTTGGGTTTCACACTCTCCCCCATAAACCTTATAAAGTGATTTGACTTGCCACTGTCTGCACAGTGGTCAAGTTTGGCAACAGTAAGCCTGATTTGTCTCCACAAAATCCTACCCCCATTTTTTATAAGTTACTTCTATGTGCTTAAGTTCCCTATTTGTAAAACTGGGAATAATACAAATTATCTCACAGAATTTTTTGCAAGGAATAAGTAAATACAAGTAAAGCATTTAAAAGAACATAAACTGCATAGTAACTTATAAACAGTATGTGAAAGGCCACTCAGACACAGGCTTTGTGTGAGAATAACTTTATTCCTGTCCAGGTGAGAATGTAACAGCAAAGTGCCAACCAGGATATATAGCTCGAGTGTTATAGCTCAATGCAGGAGAATGGACGCACCCAGAAGTTTCAGAGGCAAAATATACAGCTTTATTCTTAATGCCAGTGGTCATTCTGTGACTTCTTCACAAAGACTGACCTCCCAACTTAGCCAGAGCTGGGTTGTTATACACTTAGGGAAGGGGTGGGGTTACAAGTTTCAATCCTTTATTTACATATGGGCCCAGCAACCTTATTGGTTACAGAATTTTACATACAGCAGGTTCATTGGTTAACACAGTGCAGAGTTTTATCTTATATGCATATGGCAGGAAGACAGAACAAAGAAAACTCCAGAGATATTTGAGGGAGGCAGGACCCAGGCAGGCCAGGGCATGTTAAAAGTAATGGAGGAGGCCAGGGATTTAGCTCAGTGTTTCCACCGCCTGCCTCAAAAGTACAAGGTCCTGAGTTCAATCCTCAGTCCCCCCCTCCCCCCCAAAAAAAGTAATGGAGGGAAGTCATCTTTCCCTGTTAGCAAGTCCAGCTTTAGCTACGGAGAAGTTTATTTCCTTTTCAAGAACAGGGACTGAAATCAGGCAGATTTCAGCAGCTAGCTGTGAAGAGTGGAATTTATTTCATCTGTGTGTAGATGGGCTGACACTAAAAGAGAAAGAGAGATAGCAACAGCTAGTTAGGAGAGAAATTAAGTTTATATAGGGTTTTGGGAAGGGGCTGTGATCATAGGGAATGTTTATGACTGAGGGTCCAAGGACAGTAGCACAGGTGTGTAGACAATCACTGGACTTCTCTGTGCTGGGGAGATTGTATACCATCCTAAATTTTCTTTATGGCCATCTATCCTATTTACTGAGAGTAGCCTGTTTTTAGAGAATGGCCTGTTTGCTTGTAAAGGTCTTATTCAGGCCAGGCATGACAAAAACTAAGTAAGATTTAACTATTTCTATATTATGATATACCAGGCACTATTTAGGTGCTGAGACCTAAGGAGAATGGACAAATTTAACAAGAGTGGGAATTTTTTGAAATGTTGCTTGTTGATGGTTCAAGAGAACACATCAGCAGATGAATGGGTAAGGAAAATATAGTATTTATATACATACATCTGTTCTTTTTTTTTGATACCGGGGATCGAACTCGGGTCCTTGCGCTTGTGCAGCAGGCAGCGAAACCACTGAGCTAAATCCCCAGCCCAATGCACATACAATACTACCAATATTACTGTAGATGGCTAAATTAGGAAGAAAATATTATAAAGCAGTTAGGCAGGGCTGGGCCCTTAGCACAGAAGACAGTTGTGGCACATTCACTGAAGGCCAGGCTTCAAGGCAAAGGGAACCAACTACACCCACATACTTCCCCAAGGGATGAACAGCAGTGATTTATATTCTAAAGAGGCATCCTTCATCTTGGGTGGGGAACAAAACCTCCCTGGCCCATTCCTTCCAGGAAAATCCTTGTTCATTTCATGTAGCTTACTACGTGACTTGCTTCCCCATTAGATCCCCACTTAACCAGTCTCACTTAAGTGACTATACTTGTTGTAGTCTTATTGGTTGACCATAGTTTCACCCCACCTCATACCCACCTTGCGATTTCCCATTGGATCAGCATTACCTAAGCGACTATACTTTTATTAGTTGACTATAGTTTTGTCCCATCTTAAATCCACTTCACCTTGTGGCTTTGCTCAATCCGGCACCCTTGAGAAGCAGGGTTGGGCAACCTACTTTCCAGACCCTTTTCTGTCTTTTAGACAGAAGCTATCTTTCTTTCAACAGATTCTCCCTACTCTTTCTTAATCTCCAATCCTAGACTTCGTTCTACGATTTTAGAGAACACGAACTTGGTGTGTCAGATATCCAGCAGGTTTGGAGTTACAGTATTTTCCTTATATTATTTGGAGGTCCACATATTATATACTCTATATCATTATAAAGGAAAAATTTGAACTATTTGTAGGAAAATGGATGCATCTTGAAAGTACAAGATTTAGTGGCACACAAGCTTAAATACAGTAAACTTTCTCTCATGAGAAATCTGAAGTATAAATAAAGAGCAAAATAAAAGACAGATAAAAGGAAACAGGGAGATAGATCTACTGTAGACGGGAAGGGGACCAAGAGCTGAAGGGGGCAAGGACATAAAGAATTAAGAAGTAGAACACAGGATGTTCTTCTATATGAAACTAATAGTACCTCTCACAACTTCTATTTGTGACATTAATACCATTAATGATCATTCTCTGCATTCATTAATTCATGTATATGTACTAAGTACCCACAGTGAAGGTAGCCATTATATATCACAAACATGTTCTAATAAATAAAAATAAAGTTACTACAAAGAAAAAAGAAAGTAACAGGTATGGAAGGTTTTATCAACCTGATTATTAAATTAACCTAATGCACACATTAACTGTAAAGTATACATTCTTTTCAGGAAAACATACAGTGTTTATAAAATTGTTCAAAGAAATGGTCACATATCATAAAATGAAATCATACAGATTGTGTATCTTTTCACAGTACATTTATGCTAGAACACAAAAAAATAAAAATTCTCCAGTTAGAATTTTTAAAATATACTTTGGATTAACACATAAGTCAAAAGAATCAATTAAAATTGGAAAATAATACAAATACTTATATCAAAATTTGGACTGCTCTTAATAAATTTTTATGTATTCTAGAAAAATCTAAGAATTTTTATTTCAGATAACTAGAAAAAAAGAATGTAGAAAGATAATTGATAAGCATAGAAAACATTTGAAGAAATAAATTCACAAACACTGTATGGTGAGTAGCCCTGTATGCAGACCCTTGTGAAAATCATGTCTACCCAGCAATGATGTGAAAGTACAGGAACTTCTACACATTACCAAAAGGAGAATAATTTGATACTTCTGTTTTGGAAAGCAGATTGACATTTTCTAATAAAGCTGAACATACCTGTGCTTTTTAGCTCAGCATTTCCCCTCCTTAATATGTACACTAGAGAAACAACTGCAAATGTGCACCAGGATACATTTATAAGGATGCTTATAGTCTCCATTATTGGTAACTGTCCAAAACGGTAGAATAGCTGAATTATGGTGTATTATTACAATTGAATATTGCAATACAGAAGGCTAAAGCAGAAATGAAAATTACTGGCCAGTTGCATCCATTAAAATAAATCTCAAATTAAAAAAGGACATTCAAGGAGATCTCATTAATATAAAGCTGGAAAAGAAGCAAAATTTAAGGATATTATTTAGGGGTACACAAATATAGATAATAAGACTGTCAGAAACTTTCATGCATACTGTACTAGATGTTCAATACATATATTTTTAACTTCAGAAACATCTTGGGTACTGGTTGAAAGAAAAGTTTGGGTTTTTTTCTGTTTTGTAGGGTACAAGGAAAGAAGAAACAAGATGGCTTGTGTTTATGAAGTTTAGTTAAATGAGCTAAGTCTTATAGGCATATATATGAATATAAAAGCTGAAATATGGAAATTTTACAAATATTTTTAAGCAAACACACATGTGTTTTAATTCCAAAAGTAAATATTACCCAAGGACTTTTGAACTTGTGTATAATGAATTTTTCAAATAAACCTCTTAAGAATCCATTGGAATCTTCAAAGATGGATATAGTATTGTTTTCCGTTGTAAGTGGAGATAACAAATTCACATGTCTGTTGAGGCTGCTGAATCAGTGAGAGCAGCAGCAAGGGTGAAGCTGCGACAAATCTAGCATGCATAATCTGTCCTATCAAAAGAGAGCAACTCCTACTCAGTTCTGTTTGTTTCCTTGAAGAAATGTCAATCTTGGCCTGGGGATTTAGCTCAGTGGCAATTTAGCACCTGCTCCTGCTTCACAAGCACAAGGTCCTGAGTTTGATCCTCAATACCAAAAAAAGAAAAGAAAAAAAATGTCAATCTTGTTGCCAGATTATCTGATTTTTCAAAATTTGTCGTATATTTTGAAAGTTTTAAACACTGCAAATCATCCCAAACAAGTCTATGCTGGATCAATCTAGTGTCTTATCTAGGCTATTAGTTTGCAAACAAATTTAAGGGATATATAATTTGGTAAAATAACTTTTTCTGTTTTTCATTGTGTTTTTCATGTAGTCGACAGAGATATGTTCTTGGAGACACCGCAATGCAGAAGATGGCCAAGTCCCATGTTTTTTTAAGTGGCATGGGTGGTCTTGGTTTGGAAATTGGTAAGCAGTATTTCTATTCATAATTTTATGTGACACATTTGAGTGACTTAAGATGATTTAAAGAATTTAAGAAATTAGATGTGCAACCTTGTTCAGATTCCGCTTGGATTCTTTTGGCAAGGCTATTTTATGATACTACCATGTTCTTCCACATGGAACTAAGAATAACTCTCATTCTATTTTTGTGATGTTAATACTATTAAGATCATTCTCTGTGTTCATTCATGATGGTAGCACACATAGATATGTTCATAAAAACATGTTTGGAAGAGTACATTAAAATTTTAGGAGCATTGTATATGTGTATGATTATGCAAAATTTTATTTTCTAACTCGTATTTACAAAGAACTTATATTTTTTGAGTAGTTAAAAAAATGTTTTCCAGTCAGAGATGTGACTAAGCTCCATGATAAAATATGAATTCTTAATATTTCTTTTTCCTTAGGAAGAAAAGGGGCAAAGGGGAAGGGGAAGTGGGAGGGGTAGGGAAAGGAAAGAAGGTAATGGAATCAATATGAGAAAATGGAGAATTGGGAAGAAAGTCTTGGTAAATAGGGAGGAATGGAGGGTTTGAAGGGAGGGCAGGGAAGCGGGAAAAATAACCAAGAGAGATTATGTAAAGGTACAAATTTCCAATAATGAATGTCATTATATTGTATACCTAAAATGTACCAATAAAATAAAATTTAAAAAAATATATTTCTTTTTCTTTTATAGCAAAAAACCTTGTTCTTGCAGGCATTAGGGTAAGTAAATGTATGTCCTTAGCAACAAATTGTTAGGTACTTTTTTTCCTATTTGTTATGGTAATTTTGTTTATACTTTGGCTTATTAGTTTTTGTTTAATAGCAAAAATGTTTTAATGCTCTATTTTTTTAAAAAAAAAAATTGTAGAAATTTCAAAAATAGATGAAAATGGAATAGTTTAACAAAACTCCATATACCTATCACACAGTTTCAGTTATAAACTCATGGGCACATTTGTTCCACATGTTTCCTTCCCATTCCCCACTCCTGCAGCTATCAAATTATTTTGATGTAAATCTCATACATTATATCTGTTAAAAATGGTACACATGAAACCACTCGTTTAAGCAGGCTTTTATGAAAGAAAAGTTTATTCCAGTAAACAGACTAAAATCAGGGATAGACTTTAGCAGCTAGTGGGAAAAGCCGAGTTTATTATATCCATGTGTGGATGGGCTGACATTGGGAGAGAGAAATAGCAGCAGCTAGCTGGGAGAGGTTTCATCCTTGAGTGGATGGGCTAACACCAGAAGAGAGCTATTAGCAGCTAACTGGGAAAGGAATTAGGCTTATATAGGTATTGAATGGGTTAAGGAATCTGGGGTGAAATGTTTATGATTGAGTCCAAGGGCGGTCTGTACAAGTGTATAGACAATCACTGGACTTTCAGCACCAGGAAAATTGTCTTCTGTTTAATGAGAAATAGCCTGTCATTTGCTGAAAGTGGCCTGTTTGCTTTTTTCTTGTTTGTGAAGGACTTAGGTCAGGTATGACAACATCATCCTTAAATATTTTATTATATTTCTTTAAATGGTAAAGATACCTTTTATAAACACAACCACAATACCATTTTCACACCTAAAAATGTAATAAGTCCTTGATATTGTGTTGTGTTGTGCCATAAAACCATTTACCTCAAAATCTAATAGCTTAACAGTATTAGCTCCATTGCTGTGGGTAGGGGTTCATGTCATAGCTGGTTCTTCAGTAAGATTATCTCTCATAAGCCTTCAGTCAAGGTATAAGTAGGAGTTGCAGTCATCTTGAGGCTAGTTTGGCAAAAGCTTCTTCTTGGTTGTTGGCAGAATTTGGTTCTTTATAAGTTGCTGGACTAAAGACCTCAGTTCCTTGCTTGGAACTTGACCAAATGTTACTCCCATTTCCTTGCTAAGTGGCCCCCTGTAGTATAGCTGATAATATGGCACCTTGCTTCATCAAAGCAGGCAAGAAAGGGTGTTATAGTCTTTGTAACCTGACCTGAGAAATAGGTCCAGCCCACACTCAAGAGGAGGACATTACCCAAAGACCTGAAAACCAGGAGATGGGAAGCCTTGGGGCCATCCTAAAAGCCTATCTAGAACAGTCCTAAAATATCTTAATAGAGTTCAGATTTTCCCAGTTTTCTGAAAATACGTTTTTTAAAGCATATTTTGTTCTAATTAGTAAAATCCATGTACTAAACATGTTTTGATCTGTAGGCTTCCTTTTTGTCAAGCCTACTTCGTAAGCAATATTGTGATCTCCCTTCAGAAAGCAATAATACAGTTCTCTGCTGTTCTTTTTGTGATTATTAGACATTAGCAATCATTGCCTAGATTATTTCTTTAGGGGCAACAGTTACCTTGTTACCTCCATCTCATTTGTTGACTAAAGTAATATTTTAAAAAGAAAACTTTCCATTCATCACTTTATTTACTTTTGTAAAAGTATACATTGTATATGTATGAATATACAGGATCTGTATTTCATTTTTCCTTCTATATTTGCAGCTTTCAAAAATGAGTGATTTCCTATTATTCTGCGCGGTAACTAGTGAACTCTGTATATATATCTTAATGAACTGTTGGATTTAAAAATATTAGATGTGTTTTGATCCATTGTAATTTTATTTTAATTGATACTAAAATCATTCAGTATTTGATTATTGAAATCCTCTTCCAGTTTTAGTCCTTTTGACAAACTCAGTAGTTTTTATCACAATTTATAAAGTCTGTTTGGTAGTCAGAGCTAGAACACTGATCCTGAGTAAACACTGAAATTTCTGATTTTAAAGGTTAGAATTAGAATATAAATATAACTAAAAATTTGTAATTCACATTTGAGATTATTGGATATTTACTTTCTTGGTCTTAGTTTTATCTTTTCGCACTTGCTGTAAGTCTTGTTTCCTAATGACATTAACTTAATTATTTATTTGTCCTTTATTGTAGTTTACCTATATGACACAATTTCAATATACCAATTTTAATATTATGAACAATATTTTGTTGAAAACACTTAAAGTATATTTTGCCTTTTTTTTTAATCCCACTTGGATCAGACAGACAAATTAACTGCTTGTTTAAGTCACTATAAATAATACCTTTGTTAGTTAGGTAAACAACTCAGTAAACAGTTTAGTTCATTTATTTATTTTTCTTTGAATATTTAGGTGTTGCTTTTTAAAAATTTGATTCAATTTTACTCCTTTGTGAGATTTATTCTATCCAAAGTCATATTTATAAAACAAAGTATTTTGGCTTCTTTCTACCCTATTCCTATCTTCACTTATTATGTCATTCCTTTTCACTGACCTGCTCTTCATTTGTTTTTAAATACAAGCAAATACATGCACACATACATGCATATTTGTGTATATGTGTATATATTTTTATTTCTTCCTGCCTTTCATAAAGTACTATGCTTTTCTTCACCTTGCTTTTTATCCTAAATATTACTACATAGGTGCAAATGTATATTTCATTGTTTTCTTATGGATAGTTAATGTGTGGATATATCTTATATTGCATCAAATTTTCCCACTTGGTGGCCATTTTGATTGATTTTAGACTGCTTATAGTTTTCGGGCGGTACTGAGGATCGAACTTGGGACCTTGCACTTGCGAGGCAGGTGGCAGATCCACTGCCCTAAATCCTTGGCCCTGCTTTTAGTTTTTTAATGGAAGTACATTTAATACCCAGTGAGTCTTTGGTATAGACTCCTACACTTGATCTTAGCCAAAAGGCCGAGAAGTGATTTGGTATAGACTCCTGAAAGTGGAATTTCTGTGTCAAAAGACAAATGTATCTGTCTTATTGCTAAAGATTGCTAAATTTCTTTCTATTGTGGTTGAGCCCTTTTATGTGCCCATCAGAAATGTATGAGATTGGCTGATTTATCTCTTCTTCCGCAGTAGAGCATGTTGGCAAACTTTTGGACTTATGCCACTCTAATGTGTAAGAAAAGTTATTTTATTCCTGAGCAGTATTGAAAATCTTTACATATTTTCAAGTGCCATATACATTTCTTTTTGTTTTGGTTTGGATTTTGGGACCGGTCTTGCTATATTCTCTATGTTGGCCTTGCACTCACTATGTAGTCAAGGATGGTTTTGAGCTTATAGCAATCTTCCTGCCTCTGCCTTCTGAATGCTGGGATTGCAGGAATGTGCTACCACACCTAGCTTTCTTTTTCAATATATTACTTGTAGATAACTTGCCCCTTTTTCACTGAGATTTGAAATGGCCTGGTATAAGCTACAAATATTTTTTCTACTTTGTTAATTGTCTTTATTACATAGAGTACTTTTAAATATTTATATACATTTTCTGAATATTTGTATGTTAATATTTTTAACATGCTACTTTCATAAATGTACATAATCTTACTATTTAAATTAGTTTTTCATCAGCACATTGATGTTTCCAGATGTATATATTCATATCTCCTTATAGACCTATTTTTATATCTTTCCACTTTTTATACCCCTAATATTTGTTATTGTCTGTTTTCACATAATAATACTAAATAATATTAGAATGAGTGATCATCCTTGTCCTATTCTGGACTTCAACAGATATTTTCCTCTTTTTTGAAGGCACTTACAATCCATGATACAGAAAAATGCCACACACGGGATCTAGGGACCAACTTCTTCCTCTGCGAAGATGATGTTGTTAATGTGAGAAACAGGTGAAGATATTTTAATGTATTGTCAAGAGATTTTTAACTCAACTGTGTAGAACATTTTGTATTTTGAACACTAGTTCAGTCATAATCATTTGAACTCATCACAAGTTCACACTAGCATAGTGTAATTTAGCATAAGAATGTAACAGCATAAGAATGACTATAGACTTACATTATTTATTTATATTTGTCAGAACTTTGTTACATTCATATTGCTGTCTAAAAATGAATTTTCAAAGATTATTAAAGGAGGTCTTTAGTATTAATAATTAAGAGTGCTTGGAACTGTCAGTACACTTTGAGATTGGCTCACTGTGAAATATGCTAGTACATTTTAAGATTAGTTACATGACAGACAAATAAGTCTTGTATTCTATAGTTAATTTTTTCCATTGGAATTTCATAACATGTTAGGTTCTGATGTTGTTAAAGTGTCTAACTTCAAGAGATTGAGTATATTTAAAGAAAAAATAATATTATTTTTTTTAGGGCTGAAGCTGTACTTCATCATATTGCAGAGCTAAATCCATATGTTCATGTCATGTCATCTTCTGTTCCTTTCAATGAAACTACAGATCTCTCCTTCTTAAATAAATACCAGGTTAGTACATCTTTCTGTGTTAAATGTTACTGAAAAATTCCAACACAAATGGTTAAGTATTATATGGTAGTGATGGCAAACTTTTTAGAGCTTTCAGTGATAACAAACAGCCCTCTGCGTCATGCGTGCCATAGGTTCACCACCACTGATATATGGTATTACTAATTTAATATATGATATAACTAATTTAATCTATTGTGTTGAGAAACAAAGCAAAGCATTTCAAGTTAGAAGACTTCTGTTTGAATAATAAGTATCAAATGCTGCATTTTAGGGAAAGAGCCTAGAACTGCTGACAAAGCAGTTATATCAGTTGGCTTTATTTTCACAGTAATGTGCATTTAAAAGCTGCTTAAAACACAGTGGTTTATAGCCTCATGTATTTATTTTTCCCTCATCCTTCTGCATCTCAGTTGAAGGGTTCAGCTGTTGTGGGATGAATTTAGCTCAGATTGAATTGGAAAGTCTGGAGGACTGCATAGGTCATGTTCTAATGGCAATAACTAAAACATAAGAGGGTACCACTTAGGCTCATTTTGAACCCTTGTCCACATTATTTCCATTAACAGTCCATGTGTCAAAGCAAGTCACATTGTCAAACACAAACTCAAGGGTCATGAAAGTTCTTTCTTCTCTTCTAAAGAGCCCTAGGTGAACAGTTCAGTTACAGGGGAGTGAAATAAATGAATCAGTTCAATCTAAAATAGTTACTAATTTTGTAAAATACAGTAAAACTTCCTAGCACCCTGGATATTCTAGCTTAACTAGGTTGTCCTTGCTTTTTCCTGTGGTCAAATTATGCTGTTTCCCACTTAAAAATCCATATAGTCACATATATTAGGGCACAAAACAAGTCTCAGGAGGCTTAAAATGATTGAAATCATATCATATTCTCTTACCACAACAGAATAAAATTAGAAATTGAAAATAGAAGAAACTTTGGAAACTGTATAAATCAAAACTTAGCCATGTGCTACTGAATGAACAAATGAGTCCTTGTAGAAATCAAAAAGAATATTTTAAAATTTCTAAAAACAAATGAAAATGAACACACAACATATCAAAATTTGCATGGTACAACAAAAGCAGTAATGAGAGATAATTTTATAGAATGAACACCTACATCAAAAGAATAGATTTCAGGTAAATGGCCTAATGATGAATCGCTGTTTAGTTCATGATGGTCAGGAATCACAACAGAGAAATAGCACCAGAGAGGAGGGAACAAGGGACCATATCACAATCACGCTTCCATGACCCACTCAGACACACCCAAAAGCATACTTCACCAATCCCCTGGGCAGCCCCCAAGCCAATCAATTTCTCACAATGGGAGAAACTGTTTGCCAACTCTTATCAAACAAAAGATTGACAATATTTAAGAAGAGCAAAAAACATAAAACAATCCAATATAAAAATGAGCAAATGATTTGAATGGATTCTTCCCCAAAGGAGAAATACAAATAGCTAACAAAATATATGCAAAAATGCTCAATAGCACTGGCCATCAGGGAAATGCAAATCAAAATTACAGTGAGGGATGGTGCCACCTACTGGAAAGAGGGGGTACCTACAACCCAAGTTATCGCTGCAGGACAAAGCTTTAGTTTGGGATACTTACTTCAGGGACTCTTGAACTGACCACATTACAAATTTAAACTTTCTCATTGACATTTTAAGAAACCAAAGAGTTATTCTTGCAGTGGTGATTACAAAAGGCAAGTAAGTCTTCTAAAACTCCTTTCTTGGAATGATTGTTTTTGGATTGTTTTTGAAGAACAAGCAATTGATGCCAAACGAAACATAATAAAATGAAATCATGAATTTGAACATGGGAGGGCATATTATAGTTTTGAAGAGTTGGGAGCATGTATTTCCTATCACATTATTGGTGAAGTATTTTGGTTTTCCCAGTGCCTAGTATTCTTATTTCATTCATAAAATGAAATCAGAAGTGAATGCAGAATCAGAGAACAACCCGTGATTCTGTTCTTCTCACCAACATCTTCCTTTCAGACGAAGCTTTAAAGGATTATATTTTGATTTGAAAATCAAATAATCGGTGCTAAGCAGCAGACTGCATTGGTTGAAATGAGAAGACACTTAAATAAGTCTCAAAACCAGACTTCCAGATCATCATAGGCAACCGCAAGGGCCAAAGAGATGGAAAAATCTGAAACTCAACCAGCTAGACTCCCTGAAATGGCAACAAAAGAGGATCTGTAAAAAATAAAATCAGAAATAATTTCTCAGATAAAAACACAAATAGTATCCTTAGTGAAAAACATGATTAATAACTCTAGAGCAGACACAGATTAAAAAAAAAAGCTCTGAGGAACATGATAAAATCCCACCATAAGAAACAAATGGAATCCATAAATCAGATGGAAAATGATACCCAGGAAATTATAAACTCTATTGAATGTTTATGCAGTGGAATGAGTCAAAGTGAGGACAGAATATCAGATATAGAAGACAGGATTGTGATTAGGGACCAGGAAAAGAAAGATTTTTTAAAAATAGCAAGGGACCTTGAGAAATCAAGCCAGCAGCTGCTAGACGATGAAAAGAAGAATAACATAAGACTGATCAGAGTCAATAAAGAAACAGGAGATAGTGCAAAACTGTTCAAAGAAATAATAGCAGAAAACTTCCCAAGCATGGAAAAGAATTTGGCAAACAGATAAATGAGGCATATAGGATTCCAATTGGCCAGGACCAAAAAAAAATCTATACCTAGACATATAATAGTCAAGATTCCAGAAACCCAACAGAAGAACAAAATCCTATAAGCAGTTAGGGAAAAGAAACAAGTCACATGCAAAGGAAAGCTCATCAGAATTCATAGCAGACTTCTCAACACAAACCCTCAAGTCAAGGAGAGCCTGGAGTGAAGTATTTCAAGCCCTAAAAGAATACAACCTCCAAACCAGATTGATGTATCCTGCAAAATTATCTTTCAGAATCGATGGAGAAATAAGATACTGTCAAGACAAAGAACACCTGAGGAACTTCATGAATACCAAATCAGCACTCCAAAAATTTTAAACAATATCCTAGGAAAAGACAATGAGAGGCACAAACCCAGGAAGCCCAGCACAGTGAATCCATCAGGCAGGACAAGAAATTAAATGCAAAGGGGGAGAATACAACAACAGGAAAAACTCATGACAAGGATAAACAACCCAATATCAGTCAACAAAATAGAAAACGTAATTAAAAACTTACAAAGAAAAACCTGGGTCTTGATGGCATCACTGCTGAATTCTACAATACTTACAGAGAAGAACTATTGCACTACTGTTTAAACTCTTGAATTAAATTGAAAGGGAAGCAATACTCCCAAATTCATTCCTGGAAGCAAGCATCACCTTATTTCCAAAAGCAGAGAAAGACCCAACCAAAAAGAAGAACTGTGGGCCAGTCTCCATAATGAACATAGATGGAAAAATCCTCAATGAGATACTGGCGAACAGAATGCAGAAGATCATCAAGAAGATCACATGCCCTGACCAAGTGAGATTCATCCCAGGAATGCAAGGATGGTTCAACATATGCAAATCAATAAATGTAATACACTATATTAGCAAAGCCAAGGTCAAAAACCATATAATCATCTCAATAGATGGAGAAAAAGCATTTGCCAAAATTCAACACACAATCATGATAAAAACCCTACAAAAAATTGGAATAGACGATCTACCTCAATGTGATAAAAGCCATCTAGGAAAAACAAACAGCCATTATCATAGTAAATGGTCAGTAGCTGAAATCCTTCATGCTAAAATCGGGAACAAGACAAGGATGTCCACTGTCACCACACCTGTTCAATATAGTTCTGGAAACAGCCACAGCAATTAGACAAGAAAAAGAGTAAAGATAGGAAACGAAGAAGTTCATTATTTGCAGATGACATGATACTCTATATTGAAGACCCCAAGAACTCCCCCAAAAGTCTTCTAGACTTAATAACTAAATTCAGTAGAGTACCTGGATACATGGTCAGTGCACAAAAATCAGCCCTCCTGTACACAAACAAGAGACTCACTGAGAGAGAAACTGGAGAAACAACTCCTTTCACAATAGCATCCAAAAGAATGAAATCAAAGGAATCAACCTAACAAAAGAAATCAAAGACCTCTACTCTGAAAACTACAGCACTCTGAAAAAGAGATCCAAGAGGATATTAGAAAATGGGAAGTCATCCCTTGCTCCTGTGTAGGAAGAACGAATATAGTGAAAATGGCCATACTCCCAAATCTGCTATATAGATTCAGTGCAATCTCAATTGATATTCCAGCAGCATATTTCACAGAGCTTGAGAAAACAATCCAAAAATTCATGTGGAACCAGAAGAGACCTAGAATAGCAAAAGCAATTTTAGGCAAGAAAGAGAAGGTAGGGGATATCATAATCTCCAACTTGAAATTATGCTACAAAGCTACAAAAAAAAAGCATGGTACTGGCAAAGAAACAGACCCAAGAATCTGTGGAACAGATTAGAAGATGCAGAAACAACTCCAGACATACTCAGCCACCTTGTCTATAACAAAGGAGCCAAACATTCACTGGAGGAAAGATAGCCTCTTTAATAAATGGTGCTGGAAAAATTGAGTTTCAATTTGTCAAAGATTAAAACTAAACCTGTATCTCTCACCATCCACTAAACTAAAATTGAAATGGATCAAAGATCTAAATATTAAAACAGAAACATTAAGCCAGCTGGAAGAGAGGTTAGGTAGAACTCTTGAAGATATTGGTGTAAGAAAAGATTTCATGAACAAAACTTCATTTGCACATGAACTAATACAAAGAATGGACAACTGGGATATCTTCTTACTAAAAAGCTTCTGCACTGTAAGAGAAGCCTCCAGTAGAGTGAAGAGACAACCTACAATGTGGGAAAAAAATTTTGCCAGATGTTCCTCAGACAAAGGTCTACTGTCTGGAATATATAAAGAACTTAAATCAGACCTCCCAAATTTAAAGATCCAATTCAAAAATGGACATTTGAAATGAACAGACATTTCTAAGACAAAGAAGTAGAAACAGCAAATAAACATAAGAAAAAAATGTTCAACATCACTGGTCATTTGAGAGATGCAAATGGAAACAACGCTGAGTTTCCATCTCATTCCGGAAAGAATGGCTGCTCTCCAGAAATCAACCAATAACAAGTGGCTCGCAGAGTTGCAGGGTTGTGGGGAAAAAGGAACCCTTCTCTACTGTTGGTGGGACTGTAGACTGTTGCAAACACTGTGGAATCAGTATGGAGATACATCAGAAAACTAGGATTAGAAGTCCCATTTGACCTAGGTATTTCCCTGCTGGGTATCTTCCCAGCAGAATTAAAGGAATCATACCACAGTGATGTATGGGCACTCAGGTTCATAGTGGCACATTTTGCAATAGCCAAAACTTGGAAGCAGCCAAATTGCCCATCCACTGGAGACTGGATAAAGAAGATGTGGGTTTTTTATAAAATGGAGTGCTACTCAGCCATAAAGAATGAGAAACTAGAGACATGTATAGCTAAATGGATGCACATTGAGGCCATACTCTTAAGCGAAATAAATAGGACAAACGTGTAAATACTGAATAGTTTTTCTGGTGTGAGAAACTGAAAGTGTAAATAAGGATCAAAATGCATAATAGATAATGTGAAATAGGAAGAAAAGGTCCAAAGGGGAGGTGGAAGGGCTAGGGCAAAGGAAAGAAAGAAAAGGAATAAATATGAGAAAAGGAAACAAAGTGGAGGGCGGGGGAATGTAGAAAAAGCAGAAATCAAGATATATCATGTAAAGGTATAAATTCCCAGTGATGAATGTCATCATATTGTATATCTAAAATGTACCAATAAACTTAATGAATAAAAAAATTACAGTAAGATATGTCATCCCAGTTGGAATGATTATTATAAAAACAAAAAGGTAACAAGGATATGGAGAGAAGGAGACTCTCAAACTGTATAGGTGGGAATATAAACTAGTACTTCCATTATGGAAAACAGTATGGTGTTCCCCAAAAAAGCAGAAATAGATTTGTTGTATAATCTAGCTATCCCACTTCTGGATATACAGACATTCCTCCTTTAATGACTAAGTTGCATTCTTATGACTGGGTCGTTAAATGAATTGTAAATAGTATGTACATGACAATATTCAGAACAAAAATATGGTCAAAGGAAACTCCAGCATGATAACTGCTTTTATTTATATAACTCTTACATGCAGTGCTGTACTGTACAGTATAATCAGCAAAAATTACAGTATTGTATAAACAAAGTACACTGTACAAAAAAAGCACATTGAGACTATAAATAAGATGTACAGAACTGTTCAGAAAAAAACCAAAACATGTTGTAAGTCTGAGCTGTGGGTCCTAAGTCCAAACAGTCATTAAGCAGATGGTCATTCAACAAGGAATATCTGTGTATCCAAGGAAAATGAAAGCAGCATGCCAAAGTGATACAGGCATGCCCATGTTTATTACATATTATTCCCAGGTGGAAAGATACAGAATCCACATAGGTGTTCTTAAGTGTATGCAGGAATAAAAATTTGATTTATATACATACACAGAAGAACATTTTTTAGCCATAAAGAGTGAAGTTCTGTCATTTGCAGCACAGTGAGTGGAATTGTGGGACATTGTTTTAAGTGAAATAAGCCAGAGGCAGAAAGACAGGTATCATGTTTACTCTCTCATATGTATATGTTAAGAAAACTCAAACCCTGAATGTGGTATAGTGATTATATGATTAGAGAGGTTGGGAAGTGTGGTGGGAGGGTGGAATTTGTTCAGTGCTGCACACTGTGTGCATATATTGCTAAATCCTCTTTAAATGTACAGTTAATACATGTTAAAAATGTGAAGTTCCAGAAGTGTGGGCATTACATTTCCTTTTACTACACATATACACACACCCATCCCACTAGTACAATATAGAGTCTGAATAGATTCCTGCAAAGCAAGCTTAGGAAACTTGCAGTTTTATAAGCAGAAATCCATGTTTTGTCCCTTGGCTTCATCCCTCAAGTTTTAACTCTGTAAATACAATCCTGAGAAATGGTCCCAGCAGTGCTCAGAGCCTTAAGTTACATTCATGACATACCCAGCAAGATGTGTACAAAGGGTGATAGGCCCTTGGAGGAATGCTGATGTAGATAAACTAAATTCACTCTTGAACATGTTCTAGTAAACCTAAGTTGTCCAGTGTATGCATCCGTGGGGTGAGGAAAGCACCTGCAGTAAGTAGAGTCTAGCTCTGTTCACTGGTTAGTAGACAGCTTACCTTAAGAATATATTTTACTTCTCTCAGTCTAAGGTCATTATCATCAAATTCTGATTTTTAAAATTTCTGCTTAGATCACCACAAAAAATTAACCATTGAAAGCGGATTTACTGTCTTAAATGATAAAATTGAGAAGTTTCATTAATACTATAAAACCAAACATTATTTTGTGAATCTGAAAAAACTTTGCCAACTAATGTATCTCTTAATATTGTCACTCTTTTAAGCTAACTTGAAAATAACACTGTATTGCGGTGGCTGGGTAAATATTTCCACAGTAAGTAACAGATAAAACAAATCTCTAACCATTTGGAGAGTACATAAATACCACATAGGATATTAAGCTTTACTTCAACATGGGCAGGTTTTCTCCTGTATGTGTTACTTTGTTTTGCTATTTTATACTTATAAAGAAATTCTAAGAATACAATAGGGTAGTAACTTTTAATGATGATAACAACATATTTTTAACACAATTGAAACTGAAGTTCTTCTGATTTAGAAGTTGAAGTTTACCCAAATAATTGTGTATTTTGTGATGTTTAATTTCTTTGTTGTCAACAGTGTGTGGTATTGACTGATATGCAACTTCCATTGCAAAAGAAGATCAATGACTTTTGCCATTCTCATTGCCCACCAATTAAGGTAATTATACTCATTTAATGACATACAGTTAATCAAAGGAGAACACTTTTACTATTAAAATTTGAGGTTTTTATTGAGTTATATAAGAAGCTCTTTTTACAAGAGGACAATCAATGAAATTTATGGCTTTAATTTTGGTACCATATTCATTTCCTATTTTTAAAACTAGATTGTAAGTTTGGTTTACAGATAAATGCCCAACATTAAGAAAGAGTTAAGGTTAGGAATGGATGATAAACATTGAATACATACATTTGTTTTTGTTTGTTTATTTTGTGGGCCTTTGCACTGAGCTACATCTTCAGCATATTTTTAAGACAAGGTCTCAAGTTGCCCAAGCTAGGCTCAAATTTATAATCCTGCCTTAACCTCCAGAGTGCTGGGGCTGCAGGTGTGCGCATACCTGGGTACATCATCCAACTTTAAACATGTTATGATGGTGGTTTCAAGAGGTATCTTACTTCATTTAGTGAATATTCATTGACCGACTACATGCTAGGTACAGTTCTAAATGAACACATCACTGAATAGGACAAATTTTTCTGCTCATGAAAAATAAAATTAATATCTGGTAGGGAAGATGTACGGTAAACCAGCAAATATATGTATGGTGTGTTTTTAAATAGTTCCAGTAGTATGAAGAAAAACAGTCTGAGCCAAGAATAAAGACAATAGTGTATCTGCATAAGATTGGGAGAGGGCTCATGCTGTTCCTATTATATTAGAAAGTCTAGAGATGTCCTCTCTGAGATGACATTTGAATAGTAGTCTCAATAAGGTGAAGGAACCAGTGCGTAAGGTTCTAGGGAAGACCATTCAGAGCAGAGGGATCAGCATGTGTAAAACCTGCAAGTGTGAAATTTAGCTCTGTGAGTTTGAGCACTATCAAGAGTTAAGGCAGGATCAAATGGAGTTAGGGAAAGAAGGGAAGGTAATCCTGGAGGATTCAGTTTAGAGAAGTAGGTATAGGGATTATCTTATAGAATCGTCTAGAACATTTGTTTTAAGCCTCTCAGTTTTGATTTGATTTATAATTTAAAAAATCACTTTGGTTTGCTATATGGAGAAAAAACTGTATCAGAAGTTTTCAGAATGTGGTCTGAATACACTGAGAGTCCTTGCGACACTTTCTGGCATCTGCATAGTCAAACTATTTTCATTATATTACTGAGATGTTTCTTCTTCATTCTTATCTTCTGATGAAATGCACTAGATTTTTCAGATTCTATGTAAGTGGTAATGTCATTCCTCTAACAGCTTGTAGAATATATTTATTTATGTATTCTTACATTTTAACCACTTAACAGTTTACCCTATGCATCACTTGGGCAGTATGTTTGTTTACATACTTACTATCCCAAGCCTCTGGCAGGTGTCATTTCAACCATTTTATTCTTGTATTGAATAAATTTGATAAAATTATCATTTTTATATTTCCTGTCATAATCATCTTATAAAAATTGAAAAATATGCAAATTTTGGTCATCTTGTATTTAAATAATTGGACTGATAAGTAGTTAAATATTAATTTTAATTCCTAACAGTAAATGTCAATAGGTTTAACTCATACAAATCAAAGCCCTTTAAATTCTCAGTAATCTTTAAGAATATGAAGTAATGAAGACATCCAAAAAAGCTGGGGTTGGTGGTGTATGCCTGTAATCCCAGCACTGGGAAGGCTGATCAGGAAGGAGGATCACAAATTCAAGGCCAGGCTGGGCTACATAGTGAGTTCAAGGCCAGCCTGGACTATGCAGTGAGACACTTGTCTCAAAACAACAATAAAAAAAGAGACCCTCAAAAAAGAGAACTGATTATAAGCATAGAGTAGAGGCAACTAGACCAGTTCAGAATTATTGCTGTAGTCCAGCTTAGAGATGCTGATGTCATACATTAAAAAAAGGTGAGAGTAGACATAAAGAGAAGTTGTTGAGTTTGAGGTTTCTTTTGTTAAAATGTGCTGGGGGACCAGATAGAGCTTGTAGGTAGAGAAACATAAGCTTTGAAAGAATGATAGACTGAGGGCTGGGGATTTAGCTCAGTGGTTCCGGTGCCTGCTTTGAAAGCGCAAGGTCCTGAGTTTGATCCCCAATACCAAAAAAAAGAAGAATAGACAGAGAATAACTCTTAAAATTTTGTCCAGCATAGTTAGCTGCTTAGTGGTGACATGGAAAGAAATTTTAGATAAGAAAAATCATCATTCTTCCCTTGTAATTGAATGCATATTCCTAACTCAGCCTCTTTTGTTTAGGGTCATTTGTTTCCTTGAAATAAGGGACAAGTACCTTTGCGATAGGCACTAAACAAATCAGTTTTATAATATAAATGTGCTGAAAATTTTTGGTTTGTGATATTTATGTAGCATATTTATACTTCGTAACATTTGTGCTGTACTTCACAGTTTAAGGTAAATAAGACAGAATGGTAAACTTAAAACAGCACAGGGCCGGGGATTTAGCTCAGTGGTTCTGCTGCCTGCCTCGCAAGCACAAGGTCCTGAGTTCAATCCCTGGTACCAAAAAAAAAAACCAGGGCACAGATGTTTTACAAAATAATTATTCTACATTATAAAATCTATATTATATTATTATATATTGTGCATTATAAATTATAAAGTATATATAATTATATGTTTTTATACTTGAGAGTTGTTTTGGAAAAAACTCAATTGTCAGAGTTTGCAGCTTCTAAAATTTTTTAAAAGGAGGAAGAGGAGGAAGTATCAAAATTTCTGTTAAGTTTTACATCTCATTAAAAAAATACTTAACCCATTTTGATCAGTAAATGGAATACATGATTGAATGGGATGTAGTATTCTAATATCCATCTCATAATTTGTATAAGAGGAGCTATACATTATTTTGATGAGATAAGTTTTTATAATCAAATACAATTAGGAAAGTGCTGCTTTATGCTAGATCATATATGGCTGTTTTATTATAAATAGCTAAAAAATGGATTTAAACACAAAAATAATTTCTTAACAAATTCTTAGAATGGAGACAATTCATTTATTATAAAAATTGCTTTTAATAAAACATTTCTGATTGTGTTCAATAATTTAATTTTTACCTAACTTTGGTTTATACTTTCAGTTCCTCAGCCTTTCTCTATAGAGTGCCCTCAGCTTTTGGTAGTGGTCTGTTTTTATTAGTTCTGTCACTTTTGATGAATGCACACGCCTTTTTTTCTAGAATAACAAATAAGAATTCATCCCTAGACCATTAAACCGGAATGTCCATTTCTTAGATATTGTGCTTGAATTTTACCACAAGGCTAAAATTTTTGTTATTTAATAATTCTAGAACATATAATGATAACTGACAGTATTTCTAACTTAGTTGCACTCAATATCTATTCACCAAATACCAAATTTCTTGATTTGTAAACTAGCACAATTTAGTCCATTCATAATTCACTTTATATTCCAAAGGTTCTATTTAATTGTAAATAAAATTGTCATTAAAGAACCTAAGATAATTGAGTTTTTTGTTTTATTTTTTCCTTTCACATGAGTAAATGAACTTATTTTTGCCATTTCACAGTTCATCAGTGCCGATGTACATGGAGTTTGGTCACGATTATTTTGTGATTTTGGTGATGAATTTGAAGTTTCAGATACGACAGGAGAAGACCCAAAAGAAATTTTCATTTCAAACATAACACAGGTATGATTATATTAATGAACTCTTTCAATAAAATATTTTAAAGTTGATGTGAATGCTATTTTTGAAAAGAGTTTTAGCAGAATATTTTATAAGCAATATTTTTCATTTCATGGCATTTTAAGATAATGAAGGAGTATTAATTTCTTGATTGCATTACGTTAAAGCTAACTTGAAATATTAATTGTTAAAAATGTTCTGGATTCACTAACATTCAGGATTTGATATAACAGTACTTGTCATAAATGTTAATTTCAGTTTTGTTCTGTGTCATGTTTCTGTCATACGTGAATTGTGACTCATTGTTTACTGAACTGTTTACTGTGTCAGAACATGGATGTACTGAATATGCCATGTGACAGCAGGCCCAACACTAACTGCATACAGGAAAAGACACAAAGCATCTTAGACAAAAGTTTCTCTAATGTGTTACAGTTCTAAAACTCTATTTAAAAGGGGAAAAGCGTAAGAATTGATTCACTTCAAGTCAAAAGTAGATTTTACTACATTGTCCTGTGTCATATAAGCTTGATTTTTTTTTTTATTCCCTAAAAGAACTGGCAAAATCATTATGATTCCCTTTTAATACTCTTTTCTTTTATTGTAAGTATTTCACCTTATTTATGTTCCTTGTAGTTATAGTAAAGCCTAAAGAAGCCAAATATAAGAGAATGGCAATATACAATGACAAAATACTATTTGTGCTTCTGACTTTACACTTTATTTCTAATTCTAAACCCAGTCTAGCCAGGGATTTAGCTCAGTGGTGCCGCCACCCGCCTCTCAAGCACAAGGTCCCAAGTCTGATCCCCGTTACAAAAAAAAAAAAAAAAATGTTAGTAAACCCAGTCAAATTTCTTTCTTATGCCTCTTTAAGAAAACCTAATTGAAAGATCATTTTATGTGTCTATTTAGAGTGATTTATTATTCTATCTGAGTTCTTCCTTCAGGTTGATTAGTGCATAGTCAACCTTTTATTTTCTGTAGTTGGTTGTTGTTTACCCTCAGAATAACAATGTTAGAATAAAGCTCCAAATGATAGTATGTATTCTTTATTGCAGTAGTATTTTTTTGTATAGAAAAGTACAGAAAATAATATGCTAAGCTGCACAGTATTTCTTATTTTAAAATATTGGACGATCTGTAAACTACCAGATTTCCTGTCTTTAAAATCTGTCCTCCTTTTGTACATTTCTTCTATATTCAGAATTAGACTCTTTATCTTTTACTAAACAGTTTTACTCCTAACATGACTTTAAAACATGGTCTAATTTTGAAAAAAAATAAAAAATAAAAAAACATACTCTTTGAATGTTTTACAAGTCACAAGAATCTTTGAATCTGTGAAATACTCGAATTCTGTGAAACCTCTGAACTTCTCCCACAAAACATGAAACTGTATTTCAACATTCACTTTTAAAAGTAGTAATAAGTTGGCCGCCATTCCACCACTCCTAGGGCAGAGGAGGTGAGCCAATCCCAGCGCCCAGGAGGAGGCTCCTCTGCTGCCATTCCACTGCTCCTAGGGCAAAGAAGGTGAGCCAATCCCAGTGCCCAGGAGGAGGTTCTCCGCCACCATTCCACCTCTCCTGAGGCAGAGGAGGTGAGCCAATTCCAGCACCCAGGAGGCGGCTCTCTGCCGCCATTCCACGGATCCTAGGGCAGAGGAGGTGAGCCAATCCCAGCACCCAGGAGGAGGCTCTCTGCCACCATTCCACCGCTCCTAGGACAGAGAAGGTGAGCTGTGCAGGTGCCAGCAGCACACTGCCCCCCCCACCCGGGAAATGAGAAGACACGTAAACAAGCCTCAAAAACAAGACTTCCAGATCACCTACAGCAAACCCAAAGGGAAACAAGATGGAACAATCTGATACTCAACCACCAGGACTCCCTGAACTGGCAAAAAAAGAGCATGTGGAAAAAATGAAATCAGAAATAATTTCTGAGATAACAGCAAAGATTGTGTCCATAGTGCAAAACATGATTAATAAATCTAGAGAGGACACAGATAATAAATAGAGGAGCTGAGGAACATGGTGGAATCCCAACATAAGAAACAAATGGAATCCATAGAATAGATGCAAACAGATTTCCAGGAGATTAAAAACTCCATTGAAAGTCTGCACAGCAGAATGAACCAATCTGAGGGTAGAATTTCAGATATAGAAGAAAAGATTGCAATTAGTGACCAGGAAAAGAAAAATTGCTTTAAAATTGTAAAGGAATATGAGAAATCAATCTAGCAGCTGCTAGACGATGCAAAGAAGAACGTAAGACTGATTGGAGTCAATGAAGAAAGAGGAGAGAGTGCAGATGACATAAAAAAAAACCGTTCACAGAAGTGATGGCATAAAACTTCCCAAGGAGGGGAAAAGAACTTGACATACAGATAACTGAGGCATATAGGACTCCAGCTAGCCTAAATCAAAAAAAATCTACACATAAGCACATAATAGTTAGGATTCCAGAAATCCAACAGAAGAACAAAATTCTACAAGCAGTGAGAGAAAAGAAACAAATCACATACAAAGGAAAGCCCATCAGAATCACAGCAGACTTCTCAATGCAAACTCTCGAGGCAAGAAGAGCATGGAGTGATGTATTTCAAGCCCTAAAGGAAAACAGCCTCCAACCCAGATTGATGTACCCTGCAAAACTATCTTTCAAAATTGATGGAGAAATAAGATACTTTCATGATAAAGAGCACCTCAGGAACTTCATGAATATCAAACCGGCACTCCAAAAAATTTTAGACAATACCCTAGGAAAAGACAATGAGGATCACAACCCCAGGAAACCCAGCAGAATGAATCCGTTGGGCATGACAAATTAAATGCAAAGGGGAAGAATCCAACAAAAACAAAAAGTCATGACAAGGCTTTTAAAATTTTGACTTCATCTCCCTAATGAGTGTATAATTCAATCTTGTTACTGTACTGATTAGTATTTTTCTGATTCTAGTGTTGCACACCTTTCCTTGTGCTGTACTGGCTATTTATCATCTTCTTGTGTCTACTTTTTAATTGGGTTGTCTATTAATGAGCTGCAAGAATTCTTTATATATTCTGATCATAGGATATATGCGTTATAAATATGGTCTGTTTAAGGACTGCTTTTCATTTTAACGATGTCATTTAAAGTTCTAAATTTTGATGGAATCTCATTTATCAATTTTTTTCTTTTATACATCATGTCTGTTGTATCCTAGGAAGTTCTTGCTTACCCTAAATTCATGAACATTTTCCCTTATAATTTCTTCTTAAAGTTTTATACTTTTAGGCTTTCATATTTAGGTTCATAGATACCTTCAAGTTATTTTCATGTATGGAAATAAAGGGTTGAGGTTAATTTTTTATATACAGATACCAGGTGTTCTAGTGCCGTTTGCTGAAAACACTATCTTTTCCTCAGCTCTTGAGTTTATATTCTATAAAATATTAATGTTAAATAATCTTTCAAAACTCAGTGGATCATATATGTGTGGTTCTATTTCTAAATTGTTTTATTCCAATGATCTATGTCTTTCCTTACACCAATATTGCCTTGATTACTATAGCTTTAGAGGAAGTCTTAAAATTAGGTACTAAATGTCTTCCAACACAATTTTTTAACTCTTCTAGGTCCTTTGTACTCCTACATAACTTTAAATTTTCAATATCCAGTTCTTCATTTATAGCAAGTATACATAGACCTGAATTTTTATATATACCTTGTGTTTTCTAATCCTACTAAATTCAAATAAAAGTTCTAGAGGCTCCTAGAGATTTCTTAGTATTTTCCCTGTAGATGATCATTTCATCTACATATAAAGATTTTGCTTCTACCTTGCCAATCCTATCCTAATTGTGTTATTTTATTGCCAGACTATTTTGCTTTAGGCCTGTTTCAAAGTTTAATGGACACATAGAGTAGGCACATCTGCCCTTTTTCCCCACCTTAGGGAGAAAGCATTGTATCTTCTTCATTCATATAAGGTGTTTTTGCTGGAAGTATGGAGTACATGTCTTTGATCTGTTGAGAAGGTTATGTTCTACTTCTAGCCTCCTGATAGATTTTACCATGAACAGCTGTAGAATTTAGTCCAATACTTTTTCTCCAACTACTGATAGGAACATGTAGCTTTTTCCTTTCCTCTGTTAAAATGATGGCTTTTGGGAGTGGATCTTCCAATGCTGAACCAACACTGCCATCCCTATAATAAAACTTCCAGATCTGACTTCTAGTAGTTTGTTTTCTTAAGCAAATTTCTATCTATGTTCATACTTTTTTCTTCTATTTTCTTTATCCAGTTTTAGGATTATCACAATGTTGATTTCCTAAAATGAGGGGAGAAGTGTTCCCTTTTGTTTCTGCTTTAAATGTTTGATAATTATTTCTGCTTTAAATGTTTGATAATTTATCAGTTAAAATGTATATGACCCTGTTGCTATCATATAGGTAGGTTTTCAAGGTAGCAATATAGTTTCTTTAATGGGTGCTATTCAAATTTTTTATTTCCTCCAGAGTTAGTTTCATTAATTTGTCTTCCAAGGTACTTCTTTGAAGTTGTCAAATTTACTTCAAAACAGATTTTTGTAATATGCTTTCTATATCCTTTTAAATTCTGTAAAATCTGTGGTAATGTCTCCTAAATGTTGATATTGTGATTTTAAAAATGTATAATTGATATTGTGTAATAGGAAGTAAAGGTCTAAAGGAGCAGGGGAAGTGGGAGGAGTAGGGGAAAGGAACGAAGGGAAAAGAAAAAATATGAGAAAAGGAAAAAAATGGAAACATATTCTTTGCAAATAGGGAAGGGTGGAGGGGGTGAAGGGAGGGCAGGGGAAGGGGAAAAAAATAAGAACCAAGATACTCATGTAATAGTGCAAGATCCCAATGAAGAATGTAACTGTATTTTATTCCTAAAATGTACCAATAAACTTAATGGGAAAAAAAAAAGTAGTAATGAGTTGATCATTACTTTGTCATTTCTTTAGAATTGCTTTACCAAGGAGGGAAAAGAATGGGTTGGAATTCTAGTTTGAGATTTTTATGATAATGTCATTTCTGTGTGAGATTTGGAATTTGTACTAAAAGACTGAATTGACTTGATTTCTGATAGATTACTCTTATTCTTAGGCTAACCCTGGCATTGTAACTTGCCTTGAAAATCATCCTCACAAACTTGAGACAGGACAATTCCTAACGTTTCGAGAAATTAATGGAATGACAGGTTTAAATGGATCTATACAACAAATAACTGGTGAGTTGACATGTTTTCTTAATTCATTTATACTTAGCACTTTGCATATTTATAATTCATTGTTGGAAAGTGGCAGGAATGTAACATCAACTCAGGCCTGATCCATAGCTCCTGGCCTCAGAATATTCAGTTCAAGTAAGACCGTGTTAAACAGTGATAATATTAATAGAGAACAGGCATTCTTAGAACTCCAAACTTAGCAAGGATACCCACCCTGTTTTAGAACAGTGAGGACAGGGTGGGTGTCTTGATTAAAATCAGATGGTTACATTGACTTAGAAAGGTGTAGGAGTATTCTATACAAAGACAAAAAATATAAGACTCAGATCCAGTATAGAACTCAGGAATTACAAGAAGCATACTATGATAAGGCTGGTAGTGAGAATTAGAATTCCATGAGTCTTTAAGACATTTAGGAGGAAACTTTATTACATTGGTAGATGAGCAGATTTCCTACTTGGGCCACTCATTTACTTCAGGAGTACAAAAAGGGAGCAGGTTTGGAGAGAAGACAGTACAGTTTGTGCTCGTTGAGGGAGGTGACAATGGAATATTCAAGTGGAAATACAGATGTTGGTTGGATATGTGTTCTTGTGCAGTGGCTTTCATGAAAGGTATGAATGATTATGACTAGACAGTTTGTGAGTTTATTGGCAATAAGTTGAAGCAGTCATTCTTTTTTCAGGGAATTAATGTGAGATTATTACCCAAAGTAAAAGGAAGGTGCCAGAGAAGTTTGAGAATATGTGTTTTAAAAAATCAGTATCATCTAGGGTATATTTAAAGTTGGAGGTAATGAATTTATACTAACATTAATCTGCACAGTTTGTGTTTTCCCTCCAACCATGTTTAAAAGAATTAAGGACAGTGCTCAACAACCTATAATTTGACTATATGCCATGTTTATACATGTTTATGGAAGAGTGATTCAGTTTTGTTTTTAGGGCATTTGAAAAATATCCTTGCAGAATTAGTACGTAAACTAGTAAAATTACCTTTTTCTTCTTGTAATACTGTAAAAAATATGTCCTGAAGAGACATAAAAACAAGTTTTTGTTATAAACTATATAAACAACTTTAGATCCATGTTTAAGAATCTTTGGTAATAAAACTGATTTGGTTTCTTGGTTACATCTAAATGTCTTAAATACAAATTCAAATTAAAGAATCTGTTTTGTGACCATGCAATGATGGATTATGATGACAGTTCAGATTCTTATGACTACCTATGTGAGAAGGAGCCATTGAATATCAAAGAATGAAGATAAAATCTACATTTTGTACCCAAAAAACCTCTTGGGGTGGGGAATGTTTAAATGGACCTATAGTTTTTGAAGTTTTCTTCCTTAACAATTATTAGTTGGTACTGTACTTACTGCTGTTAGAAAATTTGTTGTGAAAAATATTTTTTTTAATTTACATACTTCATATGTATATTTTGTATTTATACTTTTGTATAAATGTATATGTACATTTTGTATTTACACATTTGTATAAATACACATTTTGTGTGTATATATATATGTACACATGCATAGGGTTAAATAGGGTTAAAAATGTTTCCTACTTCACACTTCCTCCCCTCTCTAGAGAGTTTCTTATGTTTATATGTTAAGTGGAGAGGGGAACTTACAGGATTTTTAAAACTTTTTGAATAAATAGTTCAAAAACAGAAAAGGGTAAATGTTTACAGTAAACAGTTTTTGCCCATCCTTGGCTCCATCTCCTGTGTTCTCCCTTACTGACCACAGATAACTGCTGTTCTTAGTTTATTGTGTGTCCTTCCAGGGGTCCCCTAGGCTTTTCACACAGAAGTAGCTGACTGTATTATGCATAGTGCTGCCCTTTGCCTTTTTATTAAACATACAGTGGCTTGGTGATGCTTTTATATCAATAATTGCAGACCATTTCTTTTTTCATTCCTTTTTCTTTTGTGGCTTGTATTGTGGATGAAAATGTTATCAAACCATAATTTTAATTTGCAATTTTTGTGTTATGACTGATATTGAGTATTTTAAGTTTTAGAAGCATTTTTTTTTTTCTCTTTAATGTGAACTGCCTTTTGGCATTTTTTCATGACTATTTTCTTAACCACTCCTAGGAACTCTTAATAGAGCATTGTCAGATTTTGTCTTATTTTGTTCTGTTTTGTTTTTGAGTTGCACATATTTTTCCTAGTTTGGTATTGTCTTTTGATCTGCTTGTAATAGTTTTTATCATGTAACTATAGTTGCATAATCATAACTTTTTAATTATTAGTGGCTTTTGAGTGTTCTTAGAGAAGAACCTTCCTTACTCCAGGTTTTAAAGGAATTCTTCTCCCATGCCTTTTATCATTGTTGGGGTTTTTTTTGGATGTTTAAAACTCATCCACTCGGAATAGTTTCCCAGATAGTTTTCCTCCCAGACAGTACATGGAACCATCATAACTATTCTGCATTGGTGTAGAGTACCACCTTTGTTGATCACCAACTCTCTTGGTGTCTATTCCATTTGTCTCTGTATGAGTCAGTACCGTACTATATTATTACAATATATAGTTTGTGTTATTGAGGCTTTATAATGTATCTTAATGTCTAATAATTAATAATGTATATTTCTCTTTTTTCTTCTCTGAATTTTCTTGACTTTCAAGTCCTAAATTTCACATTGGAAAAAATACTCTGGACAGCTCCCCACACTATGCCCACATTTAAAAAAGAAAAAAAAACTATACTAGAACCTTTTAATTTGTAAATTAGGGAGAATTAACATCTTTATCACAGTAAGTCTTCAGATTTCAATATCTGTACCCCTGTGTAATGATTTTCTTATTTTCTTCTAGTGGGATCACCATTTTCTTTTAGCATTGGTGATACTACAGAGCTGGAAGCATATTTACATGGAGGAATAGCTATACAGGTTAAAACTCCTAAAACATTTTTCTTTGTAAGTGTTTTGTTTTTTGTGCTTAAAATATTTCGTTAAAGAAAACGAATAACCCAAGGGAAAAAAAGTAATAAAATTGTTCAGTCAACCAAACAGTTCAGGCTGAACAGCTAGTTTTGTTTTTTTTTAATTTGTACCCACTTTTAAGAAAAATGGAATCAATCAAAGAAATAAACTAGTATTTTTTAAGTATACATTTTGTATAGCTAGAACATAATATATATATGTATATGAATGAATTGGGGTATGTATTTTTCAAAGGATCTATACTGTCCAGACCAATCCAAGAGTTGATCATACTTTCTTTCTAAATTTACAAAGTTATTTTGCTTTAATTTTTAAATTTTTTAAATACTTTATAATAGTTAATTTATCTTGATTTTAAATTTTCATTTAATTTTTAAAATTTTGAAAACAGTATATATGTGTTAGAAATGTAAAATAATTCCCATATACTCCTGGCAGTTAAAGGAAAATGTAAATTGCTGAGTAGAGAGAATGGAGACTGCTTGTGTTATGTTTTGCAACTAAGAGGTCTCCTGCTGTTTAAATCCTTAGGCCATTTCCCAGTGTAATCTGTCTAACACATCTCTGCTTGTTTGGGTTTTTTTCCATGTTGTTTGGGACTTGAAGAGATTTTCCTGCAAGTTGTCCAGGTTTTAACTTTTCTTCCCTCCCCAGTACTGTTAACAACATTATGGCTTGAACAATACTTTGTTCAAGCCAAAGTTAAAACAATGAAATGTTAATACATTTACTGGGAACTGCCCTTCTTACCTTTGTTTTGGTGGCAGGGGTGGTTTGAGACAAGGTCTTGCCATGTAGTTGAGGCTGGCCTTGAATTCACCATGAACTCACCGTGATCATCTGGCAAACAGGCTCCAATTTTTAATTGGATAGTTTGTCTCAAATAATTTCACATGTAGCATGTGTTTTAAGATTGAGTTTTAAATTTTTATTTGTTTTGCCTTTGTGTTCTTTATTCCACATAGATTTTAACTTTGAATATCCAGGTCTTGTCAGGCATAACAAAATCTTGACAATTTTATTCAGAGAAAATACAGTATGATTAGATTAAAATGGTAGTTTTTGGAGTACACATACATATGTTCCTATAAATTCTCAAGTTTAGTATGTGGAGTGGTAGTTTAATTGTATTTAATTAATTGTATTTAATCTTCGTTTAAGTGTGGTATTGAGAGAATAGTAGCTATTTTATATTTCAGTTAAATCAGTGCTACCTTGTGTATTCAGACCTTTGGGAATGATATGTTGCTTTTACTAACTGATATATACAGTAACAATATATTTTATCAAGTAATCATTCATTTTTGTGAACTAATGTTTTTTCTATTAGGAGCCATTGGAGAAGCAGATAAAACATCCAAAGTGCCTTATTGCGGATTTTAGCAAACCTGAGGTAAATAAATACTTTGCAGATTTGAAAGAGACAGCAGAGTGGGGGATGGGAATTGGTAAGTGAATATAAGTTAAAATGGAGTAAGCATGTGTATACTTTCCTATCAGGTTTTCTTAATAAAAGTTATATTCATATATCTGAAATTAACTCTGAAGAATTAAAAACAGAAATTTGTACCATGGAAGAAATGTTAGAATTTAATAAGAAAGTTTTTCTTTTATAGTGACTATCTAGCAGTGATATTAAAAAATAATCTCAATAATATATACAAATATGATTGTATTAAAATACCTAACCACGTAGAATTTTATATAGTACAAAAAAACCTTAAGCATACACTATATTCTATTGTAAATCACTGGATATGATTTTGTATCAGTAAATGTATTTGTAATAAGAATGAATAGTTTCCAAATTTGTAAACATTGATAAAGAAAAACTTTAGATTATCTTGTATACTGTTGCTCAGTTGATATACTCTTTAAGTTTCATGTGAACAACCTGGTAATGCTATTCCACATGAAATGGAAACTTGGGGCCTGAAGTTAAGTCATTTTACTTTTCTGGTGATAAGTCATAGTATAATAGTTCACATGTTTATTGTAAAGAGTAAAATAAAATAATGTTTTTAAAGCTTTTAGTACAGTGCCTGGAAATACTACACACTAAATTTTCGCCCATGTTTATTGTTCCTAAATAGGTACCTTTGCAGATTCACACAGCTATGCTTGCATTGGACCAATTTCAGGAGAACTATAGTCGCAAGCCAAATATTGGGTAATATTCTTTGTATAAAAATAATTAGCTGGGCATGGTGATTCATGTAGTCTGAGCACTGTGGGGAGCTGAGGTAGGAGGATTGCAAGTTCCTGCTCAGCCTGGGCAATTTAGCAACTTAGTGAGACCCTGCTCAAAATTTAAAGTAAGGAGTAGGAGCAGTATTTCAGAAATTGTAAATTTTTTTACATATTTATATTTGTTGAAAACCGAAGGGTTACAAATAGATCATGAATTATCACCTTCAAATGATGAAATCACAAGTGGTTTCTTTTTTTTCTTTTAATTAATTTTATTGGTACTCTTGATGTACATAATACATTCATCATAGGGAATTGTAATTTTCTTTTTAAAACGTTAACTACCCAAATAATTGCAATGCCAATAAATTCACCCCAAACTAAGCATTTATTATGACTTTGTGGGGTTTTGTTTTGTTTTGTTTTTGTGTTAATAAACAGTCTTCAAACATGTAATCATATTAAATGTGAGTTTTTCTATTTTGAAGACTTTAAAAGCTACAACTTTTTAAAACAAACATCAGAGAATTACTGTTTATCCATTGTGTTTCTTTTCTTTCTAGCCTAAATAAAAATTAAAAAGCCATATGTGTTTAGAAGTATATCTTATTTATATACTGTTTTTAGGTGATCATGATTTTGAAGTAATGATTTATAAGCCAGTAACCTTTAAGTCAGTGAACTTAAAATTTGTTTTAAATATGACCTATTGATAATAGCAATTAAGGAAATTGAAGTTGAGGTGCTTTGTTTTGAATCATAGATGCCAAGAAGATGCAGAAGAGCTGCTAAAGCTGGCAACATCTATAAGTAAAACATTGGATGACAAGGTGACTATTTAAAGTTATGGCTGTTAAAGGATTTGATTGTAACATACAAATATTCTATATATATATTATTACTCTCCTATACTTCAAGTCCCAGTTTTGTTCCTTACTGATTCTATGACACTGGGCAAGTTTTCCTGTGTCTTTCTGCTTTAGCTTATGAATCTGTGACAAAGAATTTACATTCCCTATAAGGTTGTTGTGAACTTTAAGTGATTTAATTTTGCAAAGTACAGTACTTGGAATACTATGACATTTAATTACTATTTGCTGTTGCTGTTACATTAGTATAAGCATTATTCATGTTCTGTTCTGACTTTCTTGAATTGTTACCCCATTAACACTATTTGAAGTCTTCAGGTTTTCTATCATCATATATATATATTTATAAACTCTTGAACATATCACTTGGAAAATGGTTTTTTCACTTTAGGAATAGAGTGCCTTTCAGACAACAGTTTTAGTTTAGAAGCTATCAATATAGCAATATTTGTGCAATTATTTGAAAATTTTACAATTTTCAAATTTTTTGTAAAAAAAAAATGGGAAATGAAAATCTAAACAAAAGTGGTAAGAAGCTTCACTCTCATGTCATATAAATGAGACAAAAAAGGAAGTAATATACCAAAAGTAGTGAATCACTAGCCATAAATGAAAGACTTTATTGTATAGTGATTAGAGAAAATCTAAAAAAAGATAGAAATAGATTGAAATGTATGATTGAACTTAAGGATGTGATTAAGGATTTATCTGGCTTATTGAGGTATAATTTACATAAAGTGAATTTTGCCCTTTTTAGGTGTAGGCCAACAAAATTCTTTGCACAATTAATTCAGCTGAACACCATGAATTTAAAGTGTACAGTCATGTATCTATCACCACAATCAAGATACAAAACATTTCCATAATGCCAAAATGTTCCCTCCTGCCTCTTTATAGTCATCTTCCCCACCTGCAACCAAAGCCTGGTGGCTGCTGTTGTCTACTAACCTTTTCAGAATGTCATATAAATGGAATCATATAATTCCTAGCCTGAATTGAATCTGGCCTCTTTTACTAGATATGCATGATTTGAGTCTCATTCATGTTGTTACATATTCATTCCATGTTACTGCTTCACAGTATCCATTGTAGATGGACCACATTTTATCCCTCACCGGTTGATGAACATATGGGTTGTTTCCAGTTAGACTTATTCTGAATAAAGCAGCTATAGATATTTGTATAGAGACTTTGCTGTGGATATATATTTTCATTTCTCTTGGGTAGTTATCTAGAAGTTTATTACAGATTCATATGATAGGTGTAAAATGATATATTTAATTTTATAAGAAACAGCCAAACTCTTTTGCAAAGCAGCTGTACCATTTCACATTCCTAGGAGAAATACACTTTTCAGTTCATCTGAATTCTTCTAAAGTCTATATTGTCTCTATTTTAACCATTTTAACATGTGTAGTTGTATCTGGTTGTGAATTTAATTTGAACTTCCTTAATGGGCATGAATTTGAGCCTATTTTATTTTCTGATTAAGTTTATCAAATATCTTTATTTTGGATATGAGTCTTATATCAGTTACATGTTTTACAAATACACTCTTAAGCTTTTTAAATTGTTCTTCATATGATTTGTGCCCGCTTCATTCTATAATTTTTTTTTTTGCAATGCTAGGAATTGAGCCCTGGGACTTGCACATGCTAGGCAAAAACCTGCCACTGAGCTATATAACTTCACACCCTAAAATTTTTTTAACCTAAGATGAAAAAGTTCTTCCCTCGTATTTTCTTTAGAAGTTTTATAATTTGGTAGTTTTGTAAGTTCATTTAGGTGTACTGTGCAAGGTACCAATCAAGACTTGTCTGCAAAATACATATATGACTTATGTGCATGATTTTACACTCATTTCATGTGCAGTTTTTTAGTTTTGTGAGCTCATTTTTGTATACTGTATGAAGTATAGAGGAAGGTTAATTTCGTTGTTCATTAATGTCCACTAATATAGTTTATTTCTTGAAAACACTTTTTCATCCTTAAAATATCTTGGCATGTTTCCCACAAAATCTTTCCCTTTTTGGGGAGGATAGAGTGGATCATTTTTGCTCTTCATTTTAAAATTCCTGATTCAAGGTATTTTGTTAATTTTCCCTCCACATCTCAAAGTGCTTCCTTGGAGGAATATGTTATTCATTCAAACATATTTGCTCTGGCAACACTGTCAGAATGCTAAAAAGGATTGTCTTTAATGGATTTTGTTTGATTTGGTTTGGTTTTTTTGGGTACCAGGGATCGAACTCAGGACCTTGCACTTGCCAGGCAGCCTTCAGCACCACTGAGCTAAATACCCTAATGGATTTTTTTTTTTATAGTATGGGCATGTCTTGGAGATCTCTTTGATTTCTTTGATCATTGGGTTTCTATGGTTCTGTACCAAAGGTTGTCTATTTTCTATTTACATCACTCTTTCCCAGAGAAATTGTTACCCTAGCCAGTTCTGAAACTTGCCCAATTTTATACCTAATTGGTTATGTTTTACACTTAACTTGAGACTTTTTCCCAAGATGATTTTGACTATGCTTTGTTACCATTAGACTTTCATTTTGGTGTTCTGTGGTCTCTATATTTGCTGCCCTCTGAGCAGGCCTGTGGCAATGTGAAGTCCAGTTAGCTCTATGGGTGTTTCATGTCTGCTTACTTGAAAGTAACTTACTTGAAGCTTATAATCTGTTTCTTAGCAGTGCTGAAGATCTGTCACTGTTTCATTTCTATTCCTGTGACTATGCATCATATATTAGAAGATTGTGTGAGGAAATTTAGATTTAGGCCACTGTCATTATTCTAGGGCAACTAAAAATTGTCAAGATTTGGATGTTTATGTGTTTACTAAAAAGAATAGAATTTGGGGAGATGATGTAACCTTGGGGTAAGAATAAAGCTGTGAAGTTGAACTTTATGGATTCAGATCCTGGTTTTACTACTGGCCAGCTATAAAACCTTGGATAAAGTTACTTAATTTAGTTTCCGTTTTCTCACTTATGTAATATTTCCTCAGATTATTTTGGATATTGTATAAGGACTTAATATATACTGTCACAGTAGTAATTTTTCAAACTAACTGCTTTTTTTTTTTTTGGTACCGGGGATCGAACTCAGGTCCTTGCACTTGCGAGGCAGGAGATGGAACCACTGGGCTAAATCCCTGGCCCTGAAACTTAACTGCTTATTATTATGCTAATCATTACTTTTAATATTATCACCACCAACAATTTATCTGCTTTAAAAAATGGTACAACTTAAATCATAGTCCTTTTGAATTAAAGTTATTGCTAAATAGTTGAAAATAATAAGATACAGATAATTGAACTGGAAGAAGAGGAAGGAGTAGATATTAACCATTTCTATATCACTGATATTTTTGAGGATGTAATAAAGCTGTTTTCTCCCCTCTAAAGTACACAAGAAGATCTAATTTTCATAGGATTTCAGAAGATTAATTGAACCCTACATGAAGCTTCAGGTTAAAATTAAGGTTAACTAATTTTGAATGAATAGGAAAAGAAAGAGAAGCCAGAGCTTATGAAAAGATCCTTGTCATAAATAAGTAATTGTGTTAACACAGTAGCTCCAAAGCCACTTTTCCAGTGTTGTCTTTAAAATAATAATAAACTTTTTTTGAGAAATACTTATTTTTAATTATAGTCATTGAGAACTGTATCTCTTTAACAGTGTGTTGTCTCATCACTTTCAGCACAAACTTTATGGATCACTTTGTTTTCATTTACTTTCATTTAGTTTTCATTCCTTTTTTAAAATTCTAGGTTTATAAATATGACTGCCATTACATTACTATTCTTTAACACCAGCTATGAATGGTCACTATTCCTATTGTTTCTGAATGAGGCCTTAGGCTGATTATATATAGAGTCAGAAAGCAAAAATGCAGCTGAAGTCAGAGAAATGCAACTGACGATAACATGCATATGGTTCTTTTTATTATGAGGGTACGACATTTTTAGGACTTAACATCTAGTTAGTAGGGAAATTGAGTAGTTTAGGGGTTAAGTTCTAATAATTCTCACATGCAGTAATTGGAATTCTAAGGATACTGATGAATACTCGCAGAACTTGTAGCCTCTCTTGGTTTGTTTCAGCCTGAAGTAGATGCTGATATTGTGCGCTGGCTTGCTTGGACTGCCCGAGGGTTTTTACCCCCACTTGCTGCAGCAGTAGGAGGAGTTGCCAGTCAAGAAGTACTGAAAGCTGTGACAGGAAAGTTTTCTCCTTTATGCCAGTGGGTTAGTTCTGAATTTTATCTTCACCTTTAAGGTTGAATTCTCCGCTCATAAAATGAATGTGCTGTGTATTGTAATGTAGCAATGTGTTAGAAAAGTGACCTTATAATATTTTTAATGCATGAGAGAGAAGAGAGTAATATGCTTCCAAAGCCTAAATACAAGATTCAATGATGTAACCCTGAGTCCCCTTCCCTGGTGTATTCCCCTGCATTGTGAGCGTGAAGCAATTAATTTCTTGTCCTTATAGTTTTTCTCCACCACTTGTAGCTTAGCATTCTTGAGCTCATAGAACTCTTACACTTGTTCCATGAAATGTTTGCCATCATTGAATCTTCAGGTCCCCTTCCCAGATGTAAACTTCTAAAGCTGTATAGTACAGAGAAACCTTACAGGTTTGAGAATTATGCAGGGTAAAAACATCATAAAATGGAATAAAAGCCCTCATTTCTATTACCAGAAGAAAAAGTTGGCAGACATTATTCAAGGTCCCTTTTGTTTTGAAACAATTTAAATATTTTGAATATAATATTGTGTTCTATGTTATAAAAAGTACTCACAAACTGATATTTTGCTACTGATAATGTAGACTACAATGGGATTAGTGGAAATTTGGTTTGGTTACAATGGTTAACATCATGAGAAATGTAAATTAGTTTTATTATTAATCTAAACTTTATGTTACAGTTTAATGTATAACCATTTGATCATGCTCAAATTTAGCCATGTAAGTTACTTAAGTGAATATTAGAGTCAGACTCTATTCTTTATTTTTACTAAATGAAACTAATTCTGTTTGGTATTTTTTAAATTGTGGCTTCCTAACTCATTTCTATTTCTTAGTTATAGATGATAAACCTGAACTTGAAAATAAGTATAGTCTAGATACTTTCCTCTCAAACACTAAAAATTTACTTACACAAGTGTTGCTGAAACTAAATGGGACTTCCATGGTTTCTATGTTATGAAAAATAGATTTGGAGGTGAAATTTCCTTTTGTTTAATATTAGAAGATACTTTTAGGATGACTGGGTTACATGAGTTAAATTATATGTCTTTTAATAGTTCTTTCATGTTTTACCACTGTTGAATGACAGAATATGAGAATATGTAGTAAAAAAACTTTTAAAAATATTATTTTATTCTGAATTGGCATTTTTCATGTCTAAGGATTATTAAATAACTATAGGAGAGGTATTTTTAGTAATTTAAGTTTTATATATAGTAAATTATGTTTTAAATCTTCTACTTTAAGTTATATCTTGAAGCAGCAGACATTGTCGAATCCTTAGGCAAACCTGAATGTGAAGAATTTCTCCCACGGTAATGCTAAAATTTCTGTTTTTAATTTTATTTTTATAAGAGGGAAATAAATTGAGATTTTATCTATATATCCAGTTAATTTAGATCTTTTCTCTTAACTCATTTACTTCTGCATTTGCTTCTGATCTACTTAAGGGTTAAGTGTGGTAATATCATAATGATACTAGATAAGAAAATCATCATCTGCAGTCTTTGTGTCACTTACTTCAGGCTCATAAATCTCTTTCAGAACCTGATAAAAATTTGGAGATTTAATTTTCCCTGAAATATACAATTCAAAATTTCATTGGGTTAACAACTCCAAAGCCTACCCATAGATTCTCCTAAGAATTTTTTTAAAAAATAACTGGCTCAGGGCCAGGGATTTAGCTCACTGGTTCTGACATCTGCCTCGAAAGCACAAGGTCCTCAGTTCGATCCCTGGTACCAAAAAAAAAAATCACTGACTCAAAAAAGAATTTCTCTAGTTGTGGTAGTTTCCCCCCCTTACTCACAATTTTGCTTTTCAAGATTTTAGTTACCTGCAGTTCAAAAATACTAAGGAAATTCTAGAAATAAGTAGTAGGTTTTGAATTGCTCATTATTCTAGTAGCATGTTTAAATTTCACACATGAGCCCTGACTCACCCTTTGTCTATCATATCCATGCTGAGTACCCTTTAGTCACCTAGTCATGTCTCTGTATTATCAGATCAGCTATCTGGATCATGGTTGCTTATATGGGAATACACCTTTATTTTACTTAAAAATGGTCCCAAAATGCAAGAATAAGGATGCTGGCAATTTGGCCATATCAAAGAAAAGAAAGTACTGTCTTTAGATGAAAAGGTAAAAGTTCTCAGTAAGCAAAGAAAAAAGGTTTGTATGCTGAAGTTGCTGAGATCAGTGTTAAGAACAAATCTTATAACTCAAATTGGGAGGAAGGAAAAAAAAAGTGTACTAATTTTTCTATCACATGAAACTGCAAAAATTAAAACCACAGTGTGTGTTAAGTACTTAGTCAAGATGAGAAAGGCATTCAAGTGTTTGTGTGTATGTGTGTATGTGTGTAGGACAGAGTTCAGTATACATAGGTATCAGTACCATCCAAGGTTTTAGCTGTCCCCCTGAGAGTCTTGGAACGTATTCCACATATCCCCTGTGGCAAAAGAGGACTGCTGTAAATTAAAGTACTCTTCACTTAGGTTAGTTGGACTTAAAATACTAAGTCAAATGGAAAAAGGGAAAGGCTTGATTTTTTTCTTTTTATGAGATCTTTTCTCTTTAAATAATATAGTTCATCTGATAGGTTGGGGGAATCTCTTAAAAGTGTATTCTGTTTTAAAGCACAATATTGTTGTTAATGATAATGAAACTAATCTTAACAATTTGTTTGCATCTCTTTTCCTCTATGTTTTTTTCTTCAGAGGAGATAGGTACGATGCTTTACGAGCCTGCATCGGAGATACTTTGTGTCAGAAGCTACAAAATTTGAATATCTTTTTAGTAAGTGAATAATGTTGTAAATAAGTAGTGCATCCAAACTGCTGTTGTACAAGCAGAATTGAGTCTAATAAGGATCTGAGTGAATAGTTGTAACAGACACTAAATAGCCTACAAAACTGAAAGTATTTACTGTCTGGCCCTTTACATAAAAAGTTTGCTACCCTATGGTCTAAATAATTAATACATTTCAAATTTTTCACTTTTTGAGACAGAGTCTTGTTATGTAGTTCAGGCTGGCCTTGACCTCATGGCACCCTCCTGCCTCAGCCTCCTGGTTGCAGTATTTACAGACGTATCCCACCACTCCTGGCCTCAAATTAAAATTTGAGTATGACAGTTTTTAATATTTAATGGTTTTCAGAAGTAAATAAAAGGATTTTGTATTTTTACTTCTCACTAAATGAAGAAATATATAGGTATTTCTTTCTGTCTTAGTTATCTTCCTGCATTCCCTGGGAAGATTTCCTGAACATAAAACTCCTTGTTTATTATCATTCTTATAAGTCACTCTTGAAAATACTGCTAATTTTTATTAATCATTTTAAAATAATATTTTGATGACTAGTTATTGCAGTGCTTTTGTATATATGTGGAATCTAATATCAGTTTTTGATTGTTTTTACTTAAAACTATTAGTAGGGAAGCCCTAGAATGGTTCTGTTCACCTGATGAGTTTTGAGAAATATTTAAAAATAAGGAATCTTTCATTATAATGTGCTAATGGTTCATCCTGTTTATTTGGAATTTTTAAATGTCTCCTGCTCAAAGGAATTATAAATATTATGCCTTATATAGTTTATGATTTTTTCTTTGAGGCATTTGTAAAGGCATAATAAACCTATTAAATATTTTTAAGATGAGGCACCAGTAGTCAAGTTCTTTCTGGCTTGAACCACACCGGTGGTATATGCATGACTGTCCCATCAGGCACCATATAACAACTGGTGGTACAAACAGATCTAATCACTTTTATTGGTCTTTTACTAATAAAATTAATGAAAAGCTGCCCAGTGGGACAATCATGCACGTATCACCAGTTATTCAAGCCACCCAGCAGTGAGACATACAAAGTATGGCCCTGTTGTGAATGTGTTAAAGTGTGTATCTTTTAACCTAGCATTTGAAGAAAATTAGTGAAATTGATCTTCAGTTGACATCTAGTATAACTAGATATGTTGTTTTTCTCCTCCATAGGTAGGATGTGGAGCCATAGGCTGTGAAATGTTAAAAAATTTTGCTTTACTTGGCGTTGGTACAAGCAAAGAGAAAGGAATGGTAAGATACATGGATTTTTTTTGTTTTGTTTTGGTACCGGGGATTGAACTCGGGTTCTTGCGTGTGCGGGGCAGGCAACAGAACCACTGAGCTAAATCCCCAGCCCTGGAATGATAAGATACAAATCCATGAGTTGAAGCATATGTTTCTGATGGTCTTTTTTGAATTGTTTTTGACTGTGCACACACACTTACACACAAAGTATGAGTTTTTAAGGATAGAGCATTAAACCAGAAGTTGGAAGATTCTGTTGTCTACTGACTACTTTTAAAATTAGTTTTGTGACAAATTACTTTAATTCTGTCTCCTTTGTTCCTTTCTCTAATACAGTACTCCAGAAAATCAATCTATACTACCTCCCTCACCTCATAGCACTGTTGTAAAGATCAAATGTGAAAGAGCTTTCCACAGCAAAACAGTTGGTTATTCTCTCTGTTATATAATGTTAACTGTGAAATCTTAATGAGAGAAGACATGAGAAAATTGTAGAGTACCAGACATAATTTTGATTGGAAGTAGTGAAACTAATACAAACTTTGGTATACAATTTAAGTTCTTACAACTAAATGTGAGCTAATTGCATGGCCATGTCATATATTTAAATAAAAATATATTTCATTAATGTTAACCTTTTAAGATAGAAACTAGCTTTCATTAGTAATTTTTTAGATTTATCATGTTGGCCAATAGAATGATTATTTTAAGTGTTTATGTGTATAGCCATGGTAGGAAGAGAAATCCCCAGGTGCCACGAACCAAGGGAGAAATAAAATCCTGAGGTAAAACTCATCATGACTCACAAATATTATCTCTATCTTGAATGTCTATCCAAAACCTTAACTAGAAAGGGAAGTCACTCATGAGAAAATAAAATTCAGAGCATATACCACACTGGTGTATGTGTTCAAAATTATGTTGCGTAAAAACTTCAAGCAGAGAAATGAACATAGCAAATGTAGGACCATTGAAATCTCCAGACCTCCAACTAAAGCAGATGTAAAGCTGCATCATGATGGCACTTACACAGAGCACCTAAAACTGCAGGAAAATCAATATACATGCAAGACAATTTGCCTTAAAAAATGATAGTCCAATAGAAAGAGGAAGCACCTCAGAGAATAATCAGCCAAGACAAATAGAAGAATTAGTCCCCTGTAGATAAAGAAAACTGCTACTGATAATAGAAAAACCTGCATGGGAGAATAAACTCTAAGTAACAAATGATCAAAGATAAAAAGAAAAAGAAGCATAAAGGAAAAAAATAGAGCCCTGGAATTTTTACAAAATGTCAAATAAGAATTTCTGAATGATCATTAAATTTAAATATAACTGATGTGAGAATTGACAAATAGAAGATAAATAAACACCCAGAATGGAGTGTAGAAAGATACTTTTTTTGAAGAACGAAGATATATTTGCAAAGTTCAACAATAATCTAATGGAGTTTATAGACAGAATAAAGATATTAGAGAAGGAGCAATATAGTATACAGTCAAAAGATAATGATGAAAGTTTCCAAAATTGAAGGCAAATATATTCAATTTGAAAAGGTAACTAATCTCACACAAATCAAAGGTAAAAATAAAAAGAGAAGTTGTATGACACATATCTGGAAGCTTTTCTTTATAGTGCAAGAGAAAATGACTCAGATTTCTGTATTCAGTTATCTTTCAGAAGGGGGCAAAGTAAAGACAGCTGATAAGTAAAATGATGAAAAGTTATCACCATTAGTTCTTAGTGAAAGAACTACTAGATAATGTAGGTACTGCAGGAAGGATAGGCAGAGGCATTCATCAGCATTCTTATAATTTAAATAGAAAGTGATTTTAAAAATTGATAAATGACCGGTTTAGGAATGGGATGATTAAAAATAAATGAAATTAAAATGTTAATTGATATCAATGGAAAGTACAAGGGAGAATTGCAAATTAAATAGTTTATATATTCTCTGTTCAAGAAGATAGAAATTTTAATTTTAAATTTTAAGTTACATGTGTATCGTAAAATTTGAGCTTAACTACATAAAAATAGACATTTAACTTCCAAGTGAGCTGAAATAAAACCAGTCAATTTAGTAGAAGACAAAGTGGAGAGAATAAAAGGCAGTGTTGGAGGAAGTAAAAGGGCAAAGACATATATAAGTAATCACAATAATTATAAATTCACTAAGGCTTTTTGTTACAGATATTTTCTATTTGATTTTGTGCTGTTGCTCCAGTTGAAAAACATACCATAACATATAATCACACAGAAATGTTACAGTAACAGATACCAGCTAAATGAAAATGAATAGGTCTGTGAATACCAGTCAACCCTAACAACTAGAACACAGTTTAAAAATAGTAGCTTGAGGGCCAGGGATTTAGCTCAGTGGTTTCTCCGCCTGCTGCGCAAGCGTAAGGACCCAAGTTCAATCCCCGGTACCAAAAAAAAAAGAAAAAGAAAAATAGTAGCTTGAGGGGCAAGTACATTTTGAGAACAAATGTAAAAAAGCATAGTATTGGAGTATTGGTAATGATTTTGGAATATTTATATTCTTAGGATCTTTGCCAGCCAAAATACTTACAATATGTAGGTGTTGTTTTATTAATACTGAGAAAAGAAAATAGATTTATCTGTTGCATTCACCTCTTGACATTAGATTACAGTTACAGATCCTGACTTGATAGAAAAATCAAACTTGAACAGGCAGTTCCTGTTTCGTCCTCATCACATACAGGTATGTTGTTATTCTGCTTCAAATTTAAATAATCTGGGCCAGGGGTTTAGCTCAGTGGTTCCACCACCTACCTCATAAGTGCAAGGTCCTGAGTTCAATCCCAGTACCAAAAAACCAAACAAACAAATTTAAATAATATGTTGTATTATATAAAAAAGTAAAGAGTTCCCTTTTTATAAATAGAAATAGTGATTGAATAGATATAGATTATCAGATAATAGGAAGGACAACAGGAGAAAATAGAAAATTGTCTTTTAATACAAAAAATTGATTTTGGATATTAAAACTTAAGTTGTGAAACACGAACAATGTATTTTAATTTTGTAATCACTAAGGTATGTTTCCATATTTAATTTTAGGAAGTAAGTATATTGAAACAGTGTCTCTAATTTGAAATTTTGACAGATCAAAAATTTGAAACTATCTTTTTTGGTCTCTGTCATAAAACAAGTAAATGTTTTTTTTTTTTTGGTACCGGGGATCGAACTCAGGTCCTTGTGCTTGCACAGCAGGCGGCGAGACCACTGAGCTAAATCCCCAGCCCAAAAACAAGTAAATTTTAACATTTAATATTACTGCACATTTTCAATCTTGTTTTATAACATTCTTTTTATTATAAAAGAACCTTTGTTCTTAGTGTTTTTATAGATATAAAAGTATTTAAGTCAGGAAAAAAAGTAGTTTTCATCAAGAAGATTTTCTTTAGAAATTTTTTCCCCTTAAACAACTCATTTACAATCTTTTTTTTTTTTTTTTTTTTTGGTACCAGGGATTGAACTCAGGACCTTGCGCTTGCAAGGTAGATGTGGTGCCACTGAGCTAAATCCCTGGCCCATTTTCAATCTTAATAGTAAGTTAAGCTTAGGCATGTCATGAACAGGAGCTAACTAAAGCAGGTGACATAGTAAACCTAATTGCCTTCCTTATCCAAATGTACTGGGAAAATGGTAGGGTCTCAAATAATTCCACAAAATTTATTCACTTTATACATTTACTTAGAGAGGGACTATAAAACCCTATTTATTATTTTACTTAGTTCCAACATTTTCTGATTTGTTCATACGCTAAGAACAGTAAGGAGTGAGACATGTCAGCCTAACAGTGTGACACAGAGGCACCTGTAGAACCAGGTGCTAGGTGCCAAGCAGAGCGCTCCAGGGAAGTGTAGGGTCAGAGCTAGCACTCATGAAGAAACTTGGTAACACCCAAATAACCCTAAGGATCTAGTCACCAACCAAATTACTGAGGAAAGAGTAGATTCATTTAGGGAACTCCTTTTTCATAAAACTGAAACATAAGTAAGAATTGCTAAAGACCCTTTCTTCCAAAAAATCATAATTTCTAAGTGTTTTCAGTTCTGAAGAGTAAAGTGGCCATGCCTCTACTTTATTTTCTGTGGAGTCCTGATTTCCAGTTTTTTACTGAATGTGTCCATATTTTCTAGGCACTTACCAAGTCTAACATGACTAAGGTGAAAAATACACTAATTGGACTTAAGACTCTGAAGCTCGTAGCTATGAAATAAAGGTTGTTTAGATTTTGAGTAATAATCATTTGGTCCAAGTGCATTGTTAAATATATGTGACTACAATGACTACAATTTCCACAAAACAGAAATGAAAATTAACCTCATTACTTTGTACTCACCTGATATATAATATTCCACAGTGGTGAGAATGTGTAAGTTCAATCATAGTTTATCTTTTTTGTTTAAAATGTATTCCTTCTGTTTGTATTTATTTGTCTAGAAACCTAAAAGCTATACTGCTGCTGATGCAACTCTGAAAATAAATCCTCAATTAAAGATAGATGCACATCTGAACAAAGTATGTCCAGCCACTGAGGGCATTTACAATGATGAGTTTTATACTAAACAAGATATAATTATTACAGCATTAGATAATGTGGAAGCCAGGAGATATGTTGACAGGTATGTTCCTGAAATTCAGGTTTTAGAGACGTATCTTTTATTTGTTACTTCTGTTTCCCACACTTACTTAGCAAAAAGTTACCTAATATTTTATTCTTCTTTGGTTTCCTACTATCCTCAAACCCAGAATATTTAATGATTTCCCTTTATACCTAGAATAAAATTCAAAATTGTAATAGTTTAAGTGTTTTTCATGCAGTACCTGCCCCGTTCCTACCAATCCAGCATAAAATCACCCTCTTCTCTTTTCCAAACCCCTAATCCACATCTACTTAACCTGCTCTTTAGCTTTTTCTTCCTTTCATTTTCAGGCTAAATGTCTAAAAACCTACTTTCTTTAATTCCCATTTATATTTTTTCTATACATTTCCTTCATGACCCTTTTATTGAAACATATTTATTGAATACTTGCTTCTTCACACTCTTTTATCCAGAGACCATTTATTTTCTATCATTTTAGTCTTAGTTCCCAGCACATGGTGTTATTCAGGAAATATTTGTTAAAGGAGTAGATGAATAAATGACTATAAACTTTACACACGCTTTCTTACCTCATTATAAGATTACTTAATGTTAGGATGCTAGAGTAGATACAGTGGACCCTCAAGTTATGATTGGCTTGACATACAAACAACTTGGATTTTGCCCAGAATTTTAGTTTTAATTTATGACCAAAGACTTGAGATAGGACCCGAATGTTGGCTGCTTGTGCTTCCAGGTGGACTGGGATACAGATTTAACCCTTAAAGATTTCTGGAAGGAACATTACAACATTCTTTCCTATGTGGGGTTAACTGAGAAATCCTGGACCGGTGTCTCTCTAAGGACACTGAGATCCGCCTGGAAGAAAGTGTGGCCTAAAATTACACAGGAGAGAGACTTTGAAGGCTGTGTAGAGGAGCCTGAGCCTTCAGTTGACCAATTTGAGGTACAACCAGCCCTTGCTAATGAATTGAGTTCATAAGTCAAGGGTCCTCTGTATGTTAACAGGGAAATCTACCAGTTGAGAAATGGAATGAAAAGATTGTACTCTTGAGTGAGAGAAAATGAGAAAATTTTAAGAAGCTAATGTGTACAGAATTATAGGTAATCTAAATATTGAAAAAAGGCTAATACTGTTTGGGATAAAAAACATTGGAAAGATATAGTGGGGTAGAATTTGTAGTCAGAAAACAACCAAAGAATATAGAAAGCAAGAAAAGAAAGGGTAACAGTAAAGAATTAAAGTTAGAGATAAAAGTTAACAAAGCTCAAGATTTGGTCCCCATAGTAGAAGTAAAGACAAAAGCTATTAGGTTGATTAAACACAGTTACATGTATGGCAGGGCTGGGAAGTAGAAGTGTTCAGAGAGCTGTTTAATGGTAGTGTATCTGTTTCCTGAAATACTGCATTCAGGAAAAGATCACTACGTGGGTATCCTGTGCTTACACTGTTATTGCTCACTTTTGGTTTTTTTTTTTTTTTTTACTGTGCTTTCAAACAGCCGTTGCTTAGCAAATCTGCGGCCTCTCTTAGACTCTGGAACAATGGGCACTAAGGGGCACACTGAAGTTATTGTACCTCACTTAACTGAATCTTATAATAGTCACGTAAGTGAATCAGTATTTTGAAGTAAATGTCTTTTTTTTTTGTCTTTCTCAATGAGTTAAATTTGATTGAACTTTCTTAATCTGTTTTTGCTCTGTTGATTATGTCAATACATATGTACCTGTTCATTTTTAAAAATATAATTGAATGGGGCTGGAGATTTAGCTCAGTGGTGCCACCGCCTGCCTCGGAAGCACAAGGTCCCAAGTTTGATCCTCGGTTTAAAAATAAATAAATATATATATACATATATATATATATATATATTTGAATGTACTTTTTAAAATTAAAATCTTATGTCTGGTCTTTCTGGAATATTGTTTTTACTGTTTATTTCTTGATTCCTTTACTAGCAGCCTTGGAGTTTAGACTGATTGATAAGAAAAATTAAACTTTTAGATTGAGATTAGAACTATCAGAGTCATAAAATTACATCTATCTTCTGTTCTTCTGATTTTATTATGTTAAGACATAGCCTGTACAGTATGTAATAAGTGCAAGTCTAGTTATTTGTGCACTCACGTCTAATGTTTATTTCCATTAGAGATTCACACCGCTAGTGTTCATTGTCAGAAATTATGGTGAAATCTGATAAGTGTGCAGTGCTTCACGACACTCAAAATCTAGCTAGAGTCACATTCTGCATAGGTGGAGCCCAAAACCATCTACAGTCAGATATTACACAAGGGATATAAATGTAATTTTGTAACCCCACTAAATGCTTTAGCAGCACTGCTAAAGTTAAAATTACTGGTCTAGACAATAATTGTAAGTTTTACAGTTTTTAAAAGATCTCAAAATATTGAATAATGTTTGCCAATGCATAAGGATTTATTTAATGAATATGTTTGATATACTAGAACTTTTAAGTTTTTATAGTTAATGTTTTTCCCATGTTTTCTTATGAAACGAGAAGTTTATATATGTAATGAAAATATTATGATCGGCTAAATTGACAAATTTTATTTGAAGATTAGATGGTAAAAAGTCATGATATGCTGAACATCATTTGAAAATTTTCAAAATAGGAGATGTTAAAAATTCTAAAACTTCCCATAATTCTCTCATATTGTCACATCTTTAAACCTTTTTTTACTTGAAATTCTTAAAGCCCAGAATTTGCCTTCCCTCTTTGGTTTATACAATGTTTAATGGTGTTTTGTAGATCAACAGACTAAAATATAAAGATGTAAATAAAAGACAAAGTCAGTCATTTTTAGATTGGGTAAACCAATAAGCCTAGGCTAAATGTACCTTTGCAATAGATCATGAACTTCTTCAGTGGTACTTCAGTACAGGAAACAACTCCAGACATAGCTAAAACTTACACAGGAAACTATAAACATCCTTGGTCTCAAATGTTTTTCTCCATGGAAAGGCTCATGATACACTCAGCACTATAGAGATGTTTCTTGAATTACTTTTCAAAGTAGGGAATAATGTAATAAAATTTTGTCACATTTTCTCAAGAAAAAAAGTGAATTATGTATGGTGATATGCCGTGAGTATGCTAAATGTGTGCACAGATAATGAATGAAAATAGAATTTATGTCTGTCATTTTATTGGTGTTAACAAATAGGTTAAGTGTTAAAAGAATTAACCTTTTCTCTCACCGCCTATAAGAGAAGATAAAAAAATGAATGGTTAGATTTTATTTCTTTATTTTTGTATTTTATTTTTTATAATTGTTTCAAAAACTAAAATTCCATAGGAAAAAATTTGTCATTGCCTCTCTTAAGTATTCATTGTCATATCTTGTGACAGCGGGATCCCCCAGAAGAGGAAATACCATTTTGTACTCTGAAATCCTTTCCAGCTGCTATTGAACACACTATACAGTGGGCAAGAGACAAGGTAAAAGTTCCTTAATAGGGAATTTGTTTTCTTTGAAGTAGGGAAGAAGATAATTCTAACTTTTAAACAGATTTTCATTTGTAATTTTTTGTTTCTTTCTTACAGTTTGAAAGTTCCTTTTCTCACAAGCCTTCATTGTTTAACAAGTTTTGGCAAACTTATCCATCTGCAGAAGAAGTCTTACAGGTAACAATCAGTGTATTTTAATATAAACCTAACACTTTGTGTTATAATTTTCAAGTCCTCCATAAGTGGTTTATTTTATCTCCATAAAGAGTGGCTAAAACATTATCACTGTATATACAAAGAGAAGTGATATATCAGCAGTCTTGAAATTAGATCACAAGCAGTCTCTTTTGAGTTCACCTGAGCTGTAAGAAATTGTCAGTCTTTGTTTGGCTGACAGAAGAGCAACTCATGTGATTCAACCTAATAGAGATGTGTGATAATTAATGATAAAAGGACAAAAAATAATAAAAGTACCTGTTAACCTCTTTGGGGAAAAACAATAAAACAGGTAAATTGCAGTGAATGAGGGCAACCTAGGGTGTTTCCTTAATCCTTAATCCTGCACTGCTTCAAAGGCCAATCTTTTAGTATTAAATAGTATTTATTGGGCTCTGTACTAAGTACATATATATGTAAATATATATATGTATAATGTTAATAGCTTACAGCTAGGAATATATGCAGATATCTTCTGAGTTAAGAAACTTCAGAGTTAAAATATTATATGCTATTTCCTCACTCTCTTCCTTTAAAAGAAAAATGAAGAGAGGCAGAGAGAAGCAAGGAGCTTGAAATGAAAAAAAAAATGGAATAAAAACATTAAACACATGAGCTAACACTTCAGGCTTTGGTTAATACTTTTGGAATATGTGTGTGTTTTTCTTTAACTGAAAGTGTATTTGTTTTTGTTTTGCTTTGTTTTTTCCCTCTCATTCCAGAAGTTACAAAGTGGACAGAGTCTAGAAGGCTGTTTTCAGGTTATTAAGTTACTTAGCAGAAGACCCAAAAATTGGCCTCAATGTGTAGAATTAGCAAGACTAAAATTTGAAAAATATTTTAACCATAAGGTAAGTATACATTCTGAACCATTAAGGAAAGATACGACCTCAGCTCACTTACTTATAACTAAATTAATTTCATTAGCCTGAAATGTTTATTCGTTCCATCATCGAGCTTTTCAGAAATACTGAGAAGGGCTTAGCACATAACTGTATATAAACTCCACTCATTGACCTGCTATGGATGCATTTAACTGATCTTTCTGTGTGCAGAGTTGTTTTAGGTAGCCTTTCTCTCTGTCAGGCATTAGGAATACATTTTGTCTTTTCTAAAAGATGTTTAGAATACTACCAGGAAACATAGAAAATAAAAGATAGTCAAGAATTTTGTTGGAATTTTACCTTTTCCAACCATCTGTTAAACACATTTTAGGTCTACTTCCACAACTGTAAATTGAGAATTAGTTCATCTCTAATACCTATGTTGTACCAAAAATTAAATGAGTTAATACATGTAAAGCATTTAGAAAGAGCATGGCATATAAATAATCACTAATTAAAATGTTACTTGGAATTCAATACAATTGCTAGAAGGTAGCCTGTACTCTCTTCAGTCTTCCTCTTTAGGTTTGTACTCTACTATCGGAATATAAGTTAACTTCATTTTAAAAATTTTTTTCTGTTCTGGGAATCCAACCCAAAGCCTTGTGCACACTAGCAAATTCTTTCACCCTTTAAAAATCTTTTGATTATAGCCATCTTGTCTGTCTTTTCATTTCCTTCATGACTCTTCTTCTTGGAAAAATACTTCCCTCACCCAAATGGGATTTCTTTCCTAGTTACTATTCATTCTTACTGTCATTGTCAGTGACCTGTTTGTTTCAGAATCTTAAAGAACACTTTTTATATCTTATCTGGTATGAATTTTTTTTTCCAGTACTGGGGATCGAACTCAGGACCTTGCACTTGCAGGGCTGGCTCAGCACCACTGAGCTAAATCCCCAGCCCATCTTTTATGAATTTTAAAAAACTTTTTCATTATAGAAAAAGTTCAACTTCAGAAATGTGGAGGAAATAGTTTAATAAAACCCTAGTGTAATCATCATTTATCTGTCACCTTAATTTAATCATCATCAGTTTACATATAATTTTGTTTAATCTGCATCTCATTGTCACCCTTCCCCAGATGATTCTGAAGCAAATTTCAAAATGCAAACTACTGTGTATTTTTACTTGTTTTATTACGTAAGGATTAGCTTTTTCAAAAAAGAAAATGCCACCATTTGTATACAAAGGAATGAAATTATCTTACATTCTTGTTTGTTATATTTTTTTTTTGTAAAGAACGTTGAGTCACCGTCTTACAAATGAATTCTGTTCTGGAGAAAATTTATAAGTTGGCTCTATTCTTGAGTCCTACAAAGTGAATCTTATATACCTTTAACACAGATACACAATGTAAAGCATTAAAAAACCAAATACACACAGAAATATTGTAAATAAACTACTTTTACAGTTACCTTAAAATGGTAGTACAGTACAACTGTAAATAAATTTCATTTTTACCTTAAAATGGTAAGGTAGACACATGAGGTACTTTCACGATTTGTTCACATCTACAAAGGTTCCTGCTGCAAGGTCCATTCGTATCTGTGAAAGTTCACAATTCAAAATGTTCATAAGTTGGGGACTTAATTATAACAACAACAACAAAAAAGACCTTTTTCTAGTTACAGGGGTTAGTGATAGAAAGAACAAACATAAAGGTGACTGAGAGACATCACTGTATTATATATTTTTATATAATTTATTAA